GAAAACTCTTTGGGGAGATTATTACCTGGATGCAAAGAACAAGAGGATTATGAAAGGTGCTCAAGCTAAAGCCAAAAAGCCGCTGTTTGTACAGTTCATCTTGAACTACATTTGGGAAGTTTATGAAGCAGTTTGTGTCAGAAGGTAGGTATTACAGGGAGAGACCTAAACTGAACTAACTTTATACTGGATAACTCCATCAGTTCTAAACTGTTCTTCCTAGAGGTCCAGTAAGGATGATCTCTTATTGATCCAGTGTTACTACAGGAGGAAACTAAACTAAACTAACTTTATTTATACTGGGATAGCCCTATCAGTTCTAAACTGTGCTTCGGCCTAGCGGTCCAGTAAGGATGATCTCTTATTGATCCAGTGTTACTACAGGAGGAAATCTAAACCAAACTAACTTTATTTATACTGGGATAGCCCTATCAGTTCTAAACTGTTCTTCCTAGAGGTCCAGTAGGGATGATCTCTTATTGATCCAGTGTTACTACAGGAGGAAACCTAAACTAAACTAACTTTATTTATACTGGATAGCTCTATCAGTTCTAAACTGTTCTTCTCAGAGGTCCAGTAAGGATCATCTCTTATTGATCCAGTGTTACTACAGGAGGAAACCTAAACTAAACTAACTTTATTTATACTGGATAGCTCTATCAGTTCTAAACTGTTCTTCCTAGAGGTCCAGTAAGGATCATCTCTTATTGATCCAGTGTTACTACAGGAGGAAACCTAAACTAAACTAACTTTATTTATACTGGATAGCTCTATCAGTTCTAAACTGTTCTTCTCAGAGGTCCAGTAAGGATCATCTCTTATTGATCCAGTGTTACTACAGGAGGGAACCTAAACTAAACTAGCTTTCACGCTGCACATGTGTATTTGCCAAACTTATACAAACTTCCTCTCTCCCAAACTTATATAAAGGGACAAAGAGCGTATTGAAAAGATCGTTCAATCATTAAACTTAAAGATTTCTCCACGAGACTCCCGACAAAAGGACGGGAAGGCTCATTTACAAGCCATCTTTCATCAATGGCTGCCGTTATCAAAAACTGTTCTCGAAATGGTTGTAGAAAAACTTCCTTCGCCTTTGGAAATAAGTTCAGAAAGAGTTGAAAAATTGATGTGCGGAGGATTGAGGACATTTGAGTCGCTCTCTGATAAAACAAAGTCCCTTAAACATGGTGTGTTTTCTTGTTTATTTTCATGCCTGTTTTTCTGTTTCTGTCATGAAAATACATGAAATATTGTTCCTTTTAAAGCGTTTTTAAGATGCAGTTCTGAAGACGGGGATCCTGTCATTATATTTGTGAGTAAAATGTTCACAGTTGAGGAGCAAGCTTTACCACAGAACAGACGGAGGTTAGTTTCAGCAGTGGATAATGAAATAAACGATTTTCCTCTTTGACAATCCACCGATTCACTCCTAAATCGTTTCCTGAAATATGAGATCTACACATATCGCGACTTTCTTCAGGCATTCCTAGATTTCTTAGGTAATATTTGCTGATGATTTTTAACATCGTTAATTGACAGGCCTTTGACGCAAGAAGAATTGGCGGAAAGGCGCGAAAAAGCTCGGAAAAAACACTCCGAAATGTTTTCCAAAAAAGAAATGGATGAGACCAGTTCTGTGACCGTAACCACTGCACCAGAATCAACTGACCACAGTGTCAGTGCATCAGGAGCTGGGCAACAAACAGAAATACCATCGACTACCAATGATGATGCCACAGAATCGCCTGGTGAAAATATGAGTAGCGGTGAAGCCCCAGATCAATTTATTGCGTTTGCGAGGGTCTATAGCGGTGTGATTAAGAAAGGACAAAAATTGTTTGTGCTTGGACCAAAACATGAACCTTGTTCAGACGATGCTGCTGTTGATGAACCTGAGGAAATATATTCACAGTAAGTTAGTTTTCAATTTTAGATTTTTAAGAGAATTGTTGGTGTTGGAACCCATAAAGCTATTCAGTATAAATGCATGCAATTAGTTTAGTTTAGGTTTCCTTCTGTAGTAACACTGGATAAAAAAAATATGATCCTTATTGGACCTCTAGGAAGAACAGTTTAGAACTGATAGAGCTATCCAGTATAAATAAAGTTAGTTTAGTTTAGGTTTCCTCCTGTAGTAACACGGGATCAATAAGAGATGATCGTTACTGGACCTTTAAAAAGAACAGTTTAGAACTGGTAGAGCTATGTTTAAACCAGTGTTATATGTTTTTCTATTCATAGATCGACCTCATCGGTTCTTTCAGCTGCCCAGTCGATAGACCGTCGTGAAACTGGCAGACACGAGGCTAGTTTTATTGTAAAGAACCTTTATCTATTAATGGGGCGAGAGTTGGAGTCACTGACAAGTGTACAGGCTGGGAATGTCCTTGGTATCGGTGGCTTGGAGAACTACATCCTTAAATCGGCAACAATATCAAGTACTTTAGCGTGTCCGCCGTTTACCGCTTTACCTTACGACGTGAGACCGATTGTTCGCGTGGCCGTGGAACCGCTCCATCCGGGCAACATGTCAGCCTTACATCGCGGGATGTGCCTGCTGAATCAGGCTGATCCCATTGTCGAGGTTCTTGTCCAAGAAACAGGTGAAAATATTCTTCTATAACTTCTATCAGTTTTCACATAAACTTGCGGCCATTGCTTAGTACCTGAACCCACGTTGATATGAAGCAACAACTATCAGTTGAAATATCGGCTGTACTAACAGGCATAGGTTACTTTATCTAGGCTGATAGCGAAAAGCTTTAGCAACGAGAGATGCCAATGGCTAGCTTTGGACTTGCCGAAGCTATTATAACAATAGAGTTGATGTTCGCGGGCATAAACGTGTTTTTTGGCCCGACTCTGAACTCATTTTAGCCCGCAAATACACCGCAATGCTCGCCAAAGTTAATGTAATACTAATTTTGCAATGTAGATTTGACTGACAGAATTTTTTTCCTAGGTGAACATGTTTTGGTTGGTACTGGGGAAGTTCACATTCAGCGTTGCATAGACGATTTGAGGAAGCGCTACGCCAATGTTGAGGTGAAGGTGTCCGATCCTATTATCCCTTTCAGAGAGACAGTTGTGCCTCCACCTAAAGTCGACATGGTCAATGAAGCGATTCAAAACGAGTCCAGTGTTCAGACTGGGAAAACAAGCAAAGAAAACAAAGAAAAATGCGAAGTATGTAGTCATAAGATTGATTGATTGGCATTTCTCTTCACGAGGAACAATTTAGATAGAGCTATCCAGTATAAATAAAGTTAGTTTAGTATAGGTTTCCTCCTGTAGTAACACTGGATCAATAAGAGATGATCCTTACTGGATCTCTTGGAAGAACAGTTTAGAACTGATAGAGCTATCCAGTATAAATAAAGTTAGTTTAGTTTAGGTTTCCTCCTGTAGTAACACTGGATCAATAAGAGATGATCGTAACTGGACCTCTAGGAAGAATAGTTTAGAACTGATAGAACTATCCAGTATAAATAAAGTTAGTTTAGTTTAGGTTTCCTCCTGTAGTAACACTGGATCAATAAGAGATGATCGTAACTGGACCTCTAGGAAGAATAGTTTAGAACTGATAGAGCTATCCAGTATAAATAAAGTTAGTTTAGTTTAGGTTTCCTCTTGTTTTAACACTGGATCGATAAGAGATGATCCTTACTGGACCTCTAGAAGTATCACTTGTCCAATAAATACCTATACTGACTACTGTTTATTCTGGGGTTTAATTCAGGTTTCTCACGGCGAATCAAGCGAAAATGATAAAAACCAACTTGATCAGAATGTCGCCGACGCCAGAACGGGCCTTTACCGCGCGCAGACTGGAAACAAACGTTGTACGATCCTCATCCGGGCACGTCCATTACCCAGCGACGTCACCCGTCTCCTGGATACCAGTTCCGCTCTTCTCAAAGACTTGCAATCTTTGAGGAAAACTGCGCAAGGATCTGGGACGGTGAAGATCAAGGAAAGCGCGTTGGAAAAATTGCGGGAATTTTATGAGAAATTGCGGGGCGCTTTTGAGGAGTCTGGGGAGGAGTGGCAGGACGCGGTTGATAGGATTTGGGCATTCGGTCCGAAACATATTGGTCCTAATATTTTATTGAATAAAATCTCTGGTTATCAGAGGACTTCGTTATGGAAAGATATAGGTAAGTACTGAAAAATCCGACTACCAGTCTCATTTGGGGAAGACTTCAGGTGTTTACATAGATCAGTGGCTTAGCTAAGCGCGCAGGTGATCTATATAGAAGCCTGTAGTGTGCCTATTTTTAGTTATCCTATGTTACACCAACCTAAGGTAAAGCAAAGGTAAACGATGCAATTCTCACAGAGTGATTCTTGTAAAGTTTAAGAATTTATTTGTTAAACAATTTTGTTCTTTATCGAAACGAATTTTGCGAGTTCATTCGGTGCTTTTCCTGTAGTAAACACAGATGAACAACAGCTACCAGAGACGTCCATTCTTGAATACGACAACAGTATTGTTAATGGTTTTCAACTTGCCACCTCGGCTGGGCCTCTGTGCGAAGAACCCCTGATGGGAGTCTGTTTTGTTATCGAGAATATTATCATTGATTACGGTTTTGATGGCGAAGAAGACTTGGACAAAGAGAAGGTGGAAAATATCAGCTCTGGTTTAGATGAAAAGCTTGTCGCTTGCATTGAGGAAGTGGCTGAAAAAGATGAACCCAGTCAAGGTAAGTGGTCGTAAGATATTTTTGAAGTCATTTTTAGTTAATTCTAGGATATGAAGGCAAGTCTTTTTATGATTTGATATTTCTGGGAAACGAGAATGTAATCATTATCACTAACTTTGAGCGGAATCAAATTTTCAATAAGTTCATAAATGAGTTTTTTCCTCGTTTTGAGTACCACTTGCGGTTAAATCAGATAGAACTAGTAAATCCAAATATCCTGCAGCTTTCTTCAAATTTCAAACTTTTTGAACTGGATATAACTCGCTTTTTCATGAAACTAAAATCTTGAAATTTCGTCGAATGGTGAATGCAGTTTTCCTAATAGTTTTCTTAAAATTCGCCGGCGAAAATAACATCTATGCTCCCTCAAAATCGGCAACTCACCTTTGCAGAACCATTTTGGGTTAAATTTACATAATTTAAAGTAATTTGTTATCGTCTTTTAAAGAACTACGAGATGAGCTCGGGGGGGAACACGGGAATGGTTTTGATTCTTCCGGGAACGGTCAAACGTGTTTACAAAAGGATTTGGGAGAGCAGGAACCTAGTTTCTCGAACAAAAACCAGGCTAATTTTACAACAAAACCTTGCCAGAGCGAGGATGTTGTTGAAAATACAAAGGCGAAAAGCGAAGACGATTTAAATCCTCAAGAAACCAGCAAGTTTGTTTCAAAACAGGCATTGCTCGGTATTCTCTCCGGGCAGATAATTTCTGCTGTGAAAGACGGTTGCAGGCAGGCATTTCTGCTTCAACCCGCACGCCTGATGGCAGCGATGTACAGCTGTAACATCCAAACGCCCGCGGATGTCCTGGGGAAGATGTACGGCGTGATTTCGAAACGAAAAGGGCGTGTTCTGGGGGAGGAGATGAAAGAGGGGTCTGATGTGTTCATCGTGAATGCAGTGTTACCAGTCGCTGAGAGTTTTGGCTTCACAGAGGAGATCAGAAAGCGAACAAGCGGTCTTGCTCGACCACTATTGCAGTTCACACATTGGGAGGTAAGATTCACGTCGCTTATATCCACGCTATAGAAATAGGTAATGCTAGCTTGAAGGCGCTGTTACACTATGCAATTTTCACCTAGCTTGCAACTGCAATGCAATTATAATTTTGAGGGATAGTTTATTTGTAAACAGTGTTCGAAATACGAAGAAAACGTTAGCAGGTCGCAAAAAGTGTTCAGACAACTTCAGATGCCTCTGAAGTAGAATTGCATTGCAAGTTGCAAGGAAAGTTGCACAGTGTAACAGCGCCTTAACGGTCTTCTACTTCATATTGTATGCGCTCTTTGAAGTACTAAATGGGGTACTTCATGTTATATTTAGGTTATTGATCTTGATCCGTACTGGGTCCCCACAACCGAGGAAGAATACTTACATTTCGGAGACAAGGCCGATTCTGAGAATCAAGCAATGAAATATATGAACAGCGTCAGGCGAAGAAAAGGTTTGTACGTTGAGGCAAAGACTGTCGAACATGCTGAGAAACAGAGGACATTAAAGAAAGATTGACATGCATCTGTGTTGTTTTTGACCAATGAAAAAGGTAATGGCATTGAGATTTTGAACAGAACCGTATGTGAACTGAGTTTGACCATTAAGCAGCCGAGTATGGTGAAAAATGAAAATGGAAGATTTCGAATGAAAGGGAGGTCTGTGTTGTTTCTGAAGATTAAAGGAGGAGGTAACAGTATGGAGAGCTTTGATAAGAGGTTTGAAACGTTATAAACAGTGTTAGACAATACGAGGGCTTGGAATTTGAAGTTAAGGTCTGATATGCAAAAAACAGAGAACATTTGAGAAAAATTGAAGTTTGTGTGTTGTTTCTGACAACCAGGAAAAGAATGGTATCTATATTTTAAAGAGAGGAGATTAGAAGTTAGAACCTTGCACAAACTGCGTTTGACGAAGGAAGGGATCCTGAGTTGCATTTAGACATCCTGGGAAACACAGGATATCGATGTAATGGAATGTGCTTCATCTGTGAACGTTTGAAACGAGAAAGACTTCGAAGAAAACAGTTAATTCAGGAATTGGATTTATTAGAGATGAGCTCTGGCAGCAAGAATACGACGGTATTTCAGACACGAATGTTGACTTCGGAAAGTGGGAAACTTGGCTATAAATGAGATGGTTTTGGAACGCATTCAAAATGAGGAAAATGGAAAGAATATTGAAAAATAACAGCAATTATTATGGAAGTAATGGAAAAGAAGAAATACGTAGCATTTTAGAGAAAACAGTAATTCAGAACAAACCCATGCAAATACGATGCAAATGCAAAGCTTGGATAGATAAATATTTATTGCAAAGTTGTATCACATAAGGAATATTGTATTTTTACAATAAACATGATTATATTAAATTATTTATGTCATAATATTTCACCTAAATTAATGCACTATTGACAGATTATATCATTTAATAATGGTGAAAATTATCACTATAAATACTTTGTGATTATACATTATATATATAAATTATATATATTTGTGTTTTATTTCAATGGCGGAATACTGACAGTCTAAGACTTATATTCTATTAATACAATTCTCGTTGAGTTATACATACAACTGTGCAAAATATTATTTTCAAATTCATTGTAAATAAAGCTGAAATGAACACTATAAGAAGGTGAAATACTGAGCAGCGTCTTTCAACCCTTTTATAGTGTCTTAAATATAAAAAAAAGCAAAGCGGTGACAGCTTTAGGAAGATAATTTATTATCCTCAAATGTCACCCGACATTCATTCTTCACCAGTCTTGTTCCTCCATATCCCCCTCCTCGTCTTCAAAAGACAGCGTGGTGAATTTATTCATTCGTTCCAGTGCTTTCTTGAGGAACTCCGCGCCGTCTGGAGAAAGCGCAGCAGGCTTTTCTTCGTTCACGACACGACGTAGCTTCACGCTTTGGATGGCGAGGGTCAACTGGTTGCCCGAAGGAAAACCTTTGTCGTTGTTATTCGCTGCTGGGGTTTTGTCTTCACAAAAAAGGACAAGTAAATTGAGACTGAGTTAGGTAGTTGTCGTGGTTTGTGTCTGAACTACCTGAGAAAGATATCTCAAACGTGGTGGTCTAGTGTAGGTAGTATTCTACAATAAGCTGTCGTGGTTTGTGTCTCTGAACTACCTGAGACAGATTTCTTAAACGTGGTGGTCCAGTGTAGGTAGTATTCTACAATAAGCTGTCGTGGTTTGTGTCTGAACTACCTGAGAAAGATATCTCAAACGTGGTGGTCTAGTGTAGGTAGTATTCTACAATAAGCTGTCGTGGTTTGTGTCTCTGAACTACCTGAGACAGATTTCTTAAACGTGGTGGTCCAGTGTAGGTAGTATTCTACAATAAGCTGTCGTGGTTTGTGTCTGAACTACCTGAGAAAGATATCTCAAACGTGGTGGTCTAGTGTAGGTAGTATTCTACAATAAGCTGTCGTGGTTTGTGTCTCTGAACTACCTGAGACAGATTTCTTAAACGTGGTGGTCCAGTGTAGGTAGTATTCTACAATAAACTGTCGTGGTTTGTGTCTGAACTACCTGAGAAAGATATCTCAAACGTGGTGGTCTAGTGTAGGTAGTATTCTACAATAAGCTGTCGTGGTTTGTGTCTCTGAACTACCTGAGACAGATTTCTTAAACGTGGTGGTCCAGTGTAGGTAGTATTCTACAATAAGCTGTCGTGGTTTGTGTCTGAACTACCTGAGAAAGATATCTCAAACGTGGTGGTCTAGTGTAGGTAGTATTCTGCAATAAGCTGTCGTGGTTTGTGTCTCTGAACCACCTGAGAAAGATGTCTCAAACGTGGTGGTCCAGTGTACCTAGTATCTACAATAAGCTGTCGTAGTTTGTGCCTGAACTACCTGAAAAAGATATATGAAACGTGGTGATCCATTGTAGGATAGCAGTATTCTGACTATTCCTACGCACAATTCAATTACCTCGTTTTTTCAAACGACTGCGAGCAATATTCAGAGAGTCCAGATCTAATGTTTGTTGGGACAACGAATTGGCTTGGGCAACTGGAGACTTGTTACGTTCACTGGAGTGAGATCTCTGACTCTTAATCACAGGCAGGCTTGGAGGATGGCGTGGTATACCGGGGGGAGGAGGAGGAGGCGGCGGGGGAGGTGGAGGGGGTGGGATGCTAGGAATTCCGGAGGGTTGAGATGAGGGGGGTTGAGGAGAGAGGAGTTGGGGAGAGGAGAGTTGGGGAGAGGAGAGTTGGGGAGAGGAGAGTTGGGGAGAGGGGAGTTGAGGAGAGGGGTGTTGGGGAGAGGAGAGTTGGGGAGAGGAGAGTTGGGGAGAGGGGGGTGGTGACGATATGATCTCAAAGGAGCCGTTTTCTTCAGGAGAGCGAGGACTCTCTTTCTTATTCTCAGATTTTCGTGAATAAGACTTAGAACTTGATGCGGATTCATTTGTTGTCGTGGCCGAGCTGGAAGTGTTTCCCACTTTCAGCCCTTTGCGCATCGAGGGGGGCTGGTACCGAGGCGGTTTCGTCTCCTTGGCTTTAGGATATTTCTAGAAAAAAGAAAGAAATGGATATTAGATAATCATGCGATGTCGGTCAACTGAACAACTTCCTCTTTTCACTTTGAACTTTTCCACGTGGGTATTCATCGCGTACATATTTGCAACCTCAGATCAAAGAAGAAATACGTTTTCCTGACGCACCTTTTTGTACTCCTTGAGTCTCATCAAGGTTTTCTGTCTTTCCTCAAGACGAGCGTCCTTTTCTTCCTCGTCTTCCTCCCGCCTTTTTTCAATTTTCTGCAGTGACAATCGATGAAAAGTTTAAACTGACCGCTCTGGAAATGACAAATATTGGAGTGGTTCGCAAAATCTATTTCCCAAACTTACCATCTGTACAGCGTGATGGGCGACATACTGTTCCTCTTTTACTTCCTCATTTCTAGTGAGTTTCTTGATCTCCGCTTCACAGATATTCTTAAAAAAGAATACATCAAGTACAGTTGTTACTGGACCATGTTACTGCACCGTCAACAATTGACAATTTTGCGTTATAGAAATCAATTTCTGCACGCAAGATTTGTACAATTTGCTAGGCTTTCCTTTACGCGTTTTACCACGTACATTTTGCAAGCAAACTTTCACTATATTGTAAACTTTTAATAGTTTAGTGATTTCTTTGCAACTTCTTGTTAAAACTAAGTTGTTCTTCTCAATATTTACTTCATGATAGTGTTAACTTAAATTTATCACGAAAATTACCCATATACCTTTTTGTTTCGTAAAAAGGCTTTTTTCCTGGAAATAGAGGCTAAACTTTGCTGCAAATTCGCTCGCAGTTTCTCGGACTCTTCATTGGTCGCATCATTCGACAACTGTTGTAAATCAAGGCGAACTATCTTCTCGTTTTTCTCCTGAATATCGCAGCTCAGGACGAGTATTTCGCATTGTTTGGTGTAAACTTGGATCTCTTTTTCGTTGAGTTTCTCTGGCATGCTGATGTCTTCGTCCAAAGCTAAAGCATCACGTCGTATTCTGTCCCGTTCCAAAAGCTTTAGCTGGTTTGAGCAGTTCAGCATCTCAATCTCATTTTGAAGAGATTCCTTTTCGAATTGGTAGAGTTTTGTCGCTACTGTGAAAAGAAAAATCAGTACAATATATACTCGTTTAAACTCGTAACATAATAATAAAAGCAATTAAGAAAAACTGGAGTTTTTCATCTCAACGTTTCTGTTTGACTCTGTCATTAACATCTCAAAATAAGTAGATTATCTGGTTAGAATTCCTCCACAATTTCACAAAAGTAAAATCATCTTTTCTTAGACAGAGTAAAGAACGTATTTCTGGCCAACATATTCTCTTTCTCGAGAGAAGATATCTATTCAACGATACCACTTTTAGCTGATATTCTACCCAAAATTATCAACATTGCTCTTGTGCAAATCAGTAAAGCCTACCAAAAATTTTCTTATCCTCTGTAAATTTCTCAGAGTCTTCTCGCAAAAGCTTGGAGATCTGCTGTAGTCGCGGTAAAGATATATTAAAATGGGCGATGCGAAATTGGTTGATATGCTTCACGGAGTCGATGTACTGGTCTTCCCATTCGCTGAAAGTCTGCACATTATTTTGGAAAGTGGATGTGGTCATGGAGTGTTGGTTAAACATCGTGGCGCATTCTGTTCGTTCTTTTTGAGCGATATCTCTGAAAAATATTGTGGAGTTATAAGGACTCTGTGGAGAAACATGGAAGGGGGTGCTTTTCGACGTGAGGTGGCTTCAAATGGTTGGTTAAACTTGAAAGGAGTGGTCAGAAGAGGTTTATCTCAGGACAGAGTTTATAGGAAGGTGGTAATAGTACCAGTGGTAAAACCCAGTTGGTTGAAGTTTAACTTAACCTAGGAAGGGGAAGAACCAAACTTTAGCAGGGGAGTTTAAATCTACTTTAATACAGAGGGGTAAAGCCCAATTCTGGCAGGAGGGTGAAGCTGAATATTGGCAGGGGGGTTAAGCTAAACTTTGGCAGGGGGGGTGAATGTAAAAAGAGGCATGAAGCAAGTACTAACTAACCTTAGTTCCTCATATGGTTCACAATCAAATGCCAACAATTTTCTTTCAGCATCAGTAACGTTGGTCATACAATCCCATAATGCATCATACCATTCAAATAAATTCATGCTGGCGGCATCTTTCTTCGCTATGTGCTCCTGAAACCCCTGTCGAGTTTCCTCAACAACTGTCACAAATCGTTTTCGTTTTAATTCTAAGGTCGATATTGTGTAGTCCTCATCGAAATACAGGGGTTCGCCAAAAAATACGCTCGTAAATAGCTTCCAACCGCAAATCTGGAATGCATTCTTGAAATATTCTTCAAGCTTTTTGCATAGCTGAGGTGAGACATATGTCCACCTTATGTACCACCAAATACCTAAAATAGGTCAAAATGTTGAGTTTGTTATTGGTCATGAATGAATAGACTTCTAGGAAAATATCAACATAACATTTGAGAAAAGGACAGGATGTATTTCATCAAAGATCTTTTGCATGGAGTTACAAAACTGTTGTATCTTTTTTATAAAGCCTTGGGTAGCCTTGGTGTACAGTTAACATGGAACACCCCATGGAGATGTATATTAATTGTGTGTCATACTGTGGCAGTACTTGGCCTATCTAATGATATAACTATATTGGAACTGAACATTTTGAACAATAAAAGAAGTTTAAAACAAGTCTTTTCATAAATAGACCCTCCATACACTCTTTGCTACCCAACACCACCACCAACCTTGTTCATCTTTCGGCAACTTTGGCAGAGCACTCTGAAGTTCTTGATGGACCAAACACAACACAAAATGCCTCCTTTCAATCTTTCTTATACTAAAACTATCCGACCAAAGCCTCTCTTCAGAACCGTCGTGACTTATCGAAAGCATGGTCACATTGAATACAGAATTCTTCTTGTCCCAATCGACAGCAACTGCTGGTAAGGTCCCCTTGTCACAATCATCCGTGAATGGTAAATCTCTAAGAACAAGGAAATCTTTTAGTTCATCCTCTACAGACTGACTTCTGTTAAAATCGGGCATATTTGCAGAAGTTGTTGGAGATATTTTATCTAATTAACAACAAAATCGAAATCTGCAACGCTGAAATGAAATCGAAAATGATCATTTTGAAAATGAAATTGTTCGATCAAAAGTTTGTTATGATCATGCAAAATGTAACAAACATCCCTTATGTACAAATCTTACGTAATCGTGCTAAAAATAGATCGGTGTTTCCACCTGAAATGTTGAGAATACTGTTTACATTGATTTCATGGAAATAATTGCAGATAACGTTTGTCTTTGCAGATAGTTCAGACGTTCTTTGGTTTAAAAAGATTTATTTACGTATGATAAATATGATCAAAAGTGTTAGAAAACGTTTTAACTGATAGAAATATGTATTTTCTTCGCCAGTGACTCAGTATTAATATTCCTTCCACCATATGCAAACAGCAAACTGTTTTTTTTTCTCGGTTATGGACGAAATAAGCATGAACGTTTTTTTTTGCTTATAAAAGAGTTCAAATAAGCGATAATGACAAAATATGGGACTTGAAATTGGGTAGAATTTTGAATTTTCATTGCTGACATATTTCAACAGAAGTGGAAACATGCCATCAATTCCAAATTCCAATGATATATAGCTCAGTGGTTCCAATATGGCGAAAAACGTGTTTGGTGAAACCTGATGTAATATGCTTAAAAAATGGAAATTGTAGTAAATATTGACAGGTTTTACTTCTTAACATGATCCCTGAACACCGAAGAGTATAAGATGAATCACTGTTTCAGAATTTCGATAACATTTCGCCATTTTCATGGGCAGTTTGTGGTGAAGGGTCACCTTATAAATATCCAATCCTTTTATCGTTTCCCACTACTGCCAGTGATCAATGATTCATATCAGGTATGCGATGTTTTAGTTCATTTCATGGCATATTACGCAAGTTTGTGAACAGATTTTATAGTTATATACTCGTTTATCAATGGGTTAAATTTTATCCAGGACAACAACAAGAGGTATTTCTCCACGGACAGACATCGAAAACCACGAGGGTTTATTGGAAAAATCATAGACAACATCAGAGATGGTTTAGAGAAAGATAAAGATATGCAAGTATGGTTTCTGCATTGAAATATGTAGATAATGTTATATTGAGCTTTCATAGGTGGGTTCTTTGGGGTGTACTCCTACCTCCTCTGCAGGCACTAGGGAACATTTTAGGTGAGGGTGCACCCCCCAAATTTCAAGCACCCTCACAAGAATTCCCAAATTACCAAGTTTACACAGGCATTTATACGGACCCAACCCCCTCCCTCTCAGCCAACCCCCTCCCTCTCAGCCAACCCCCTCCCTCTCAGCCAACCCCCTCCCTCTCTGATTTATAAGCTCTGTGCTAGAAGTATGGTTCAGCATCTCCCCTCCCCTCTTATAGGAAGGGATTTCATGATCTCTCTTCTGTCTTTCGGCAATTCATTCGGTAACATGTCTTTTTGTAGGAGAATATTAAAAAGTTCCAGGAGGAAGCAGAAAAACTCGAACAATCATCTGCATTCAAGACAGCCAAGAAACAGTTTGGTGTCATCAACACTGCCAAGGTACTGGTACTGTTGCAATTCAAGGTTCGAAGTTTTCAATATTGATCGTTATTCAAAATTTACCTTAACAGGAAAAAACTAGCGAAGGCATTTCCAAGATATCATCGGTTCTCAAGGACGGCAGCGAACAACTCAGTGAGAGTGCTTCAAAGGTCAGGCAATGATAAAATTAAGTCCATGCAGACCTGAGTTATTTGTTTTAGCTCATTTACTTTACCTTTGACTCATGATAATGATTGCATCACTAGGAAAGCAACATTTTTCCAATTTACTTTACAGGTTGTTGATGACGTGAAGTCAAGTGAAACATACAAAAGAGGACAACAAGTCTCTGAAGAGGTGAGAGGCAAACTTATTGCAAATGTACTTCACTCTACTGTATGACTCTCATATTTAAAAGCCAAAGTTTTCTTATGAATTAACATTATTTATCTTAGCTTGGAAGGTCAGCGCAAGAGGCTTTCACTAAAGTAAAAGAGCATAGTGAAGAATTAGGAAAAACAGAGGCAGCAAAAACCGTCACAAAGGTAAAAGTTGTTTTAATTGCAAAGTTATCTCTAGTGATTTTTGTTGAACAAACCTTAGTGATTTTAGTGTATTGGAGTTACACCAATGCTCTTGCTAGTCCTAACAATTTAATTGCTTTTTTCTACTCAGGGTTTAAAGACAGTGAAAGAAGATTTGTTTGACCCTATTGCTGAGAAATCAAAACCTTACCAAAGACCAGGTAACATTGTTGATAAAGCTTCATATACTTCTCAACAAAAAGTCATTTCCTTTTACAAGTATAGTAAACCTTTGTATTAAAATTGTTTCAGAAACACTTCGGAGGAGAACTGATCCAAAAACAGAAAGCGAAATGAAATTGAATGAAAAAAGAATAGAAGTCAACGAGTAAGAGGACTTTCCTGTGTGTTTTTTTCATCTTATTTGGCAGTGGGAAATACAAAAGTACATGTGAAGTATATATTAATATATTATATAGAGAATAATACATGGATGCTTGGAAATATGGAATTTATTTCGAGTGTTGAGAATAATATCGAACGAGTGAGCGCAGCGAACGAGTGAGATATCTTTCTCAACACGAGAAATAAATTCCATATCTCCAAGCATCCATGTATTATTCTGTTTATTATATAATGAAAAGCTGTTTTTTTGAAAAGCTTTTTATCCCCCTTCCTGATTCCAGATCGGTGGATCAAACACAATAATCGCACATGTGTTATTATCGCTTTTCAAAATGGCGTATTCGTCAATAAAACACTGCATATTATATAATAATATGTTTTAATTTCTTATCTTCTTATTTCAGGGATGCAACTGGTGTAGTTTTACACAAAGACTCTGTGTGGTATCAGCAGTGGAAGAATTTTAAAGACAATAATACTGTTGTTAATGGTGAGTTGATTTAAGCATTTTGTCGATGAATTTGATATTCTTAGTACTTGTTTTCATATGATGATCAATCAGGTCTTGCCTTCCTCTACAGGATTATTTGATTTGAAAATGAAATATGACGAAAGCGACAATTTGCTTATCCGAGCCTCACGAATTGTCACAGACAAACTTGGTGATATTTTCCGTGAGTATCAAGTTGAAATTTTTAACACCATAATAAAGAGTTTGAAAAATCTCAGGTTAAAGGTAATCTCATCTGGAGTTAATTTCACAGTGGATAAAACAATCAATGGGTTTTTTGAAGTATTGACTGCTGAATATGTTTCATATTCTTTGCCTTAACAGAGGACGTTTTCTCACAATCTGACATGGCCAAAACTTTAGCAGAAATCACAAAAATTGATCCAAGTTTTAATAAGGATAAATTCCTCCATGAGTGTGAATATGAGATTATACCAACTGTGCTACAGGTGGGTGGATGATGGTTGAGGTTTGACCAGTTAGCAATGGTATTTCAGCAAACAGTGGTGATTCTCATTTTGTTCTCCAGGCATATATTAATGGAGATGTGGAACTTCTGCAGGATTGGTGTCATGAGCGGGTAATACCTTTAGCCAGTCATTTTGAGGATTTTTCTGGCTTGTTACAACTTTTAATATTTATTGGTCATTCATATAGACATACAGCGTACTTGCTGCCCAAATTGAGCAAAACAAAGTGGCCGGAATCAAAGTAGATACAAAAATATTGGATATCAGAGATGTAGATGTAAGTTTTCATTCTTTGTTTCTCTGTAAATGAGCTGGTTGGTTGTGAATTCTGAGCACTCTAGATGTCCAGCTGGTTTCCCCAAGTTTTTTATAACAAGTTCAGTTTGAAAAACACACATGTTTAGCTCATATCAGATGTTTTTTGACTTCTCTTTTTAGCTTGCTCTTGCAAAAATCATGGAACAAGGTCCTGTGTTAATTTTGACATTTTCAGCTCAACAGACCATGTGTGCAACCGATGCCCGCGGGAAAGTTGTGGAGGGTGGAGAGGTATGTTGGCACGCTAGTGATGAGGGGGGGGAGAGGTAACACTTGCACAGTAATGTTTATAATGATATTTCTAAATCTTTTAGGATAAGATAGAGTTGTTTAACTACGTGTGGGCAATGTGTCGAGATCAAACTATTTTGAAACATGAACAAGCATGGAAAGTTTTGGAATTTGGAATACAGCACTCTAGCGAGTATTACTGATTGCGTCCTGCTTTCATAAACATCAAGATAGACAGGCATTGCTTCTTATCTTGTTACCACAACCATGCTCTCATTGGCAGTCTGATGAAGATCACAATGCCAAAATTATTACAATCCTGTAGGACCGGCAAGTTTGAAATCACACATACACTTGTGTGGTTAGCCACAATCAAGCTTGTTGAGGTCATTCAAAATACAGGAAAAACAACCTCTTTGAGTCATTTATAAACATTGCTTGGACACAAGTACGTAACTATATGCGAGTTTTGATACGAACAAAAACATTGGATGGAAGAGATTAGGGAATGGAGTCTTGTTGAAATAATAGCCATATTGCAGGCTATCAAAGTCTAAAAGATAATCAAAACTTAAATATTTTAAACAAAGATGTAGTTTATTTCTATGTCACATTGAACATATTTTAAGATTAATTGAGATAATTCCCTATTCATAATTTATGACTGGTTTGTTATACAACAGTTATGTTGCATCTTGTTATAAGCTAGACTTTTAAATATAAAGTTTTGGGCCAGCCTTATGTATTGCATATTCTACATGAAAATTCCTTAATTTTTGATTGTGTATTCTCAATTTTTTGACAATTGTTAATTCAGTTGTTTCAAAATCTGTAGAATTACAAATTTTAAAGTTTGGCCTAATTGTGTCTTGGTGTATGGTTGGTCCAGTACAGGCACATGGATAAATACAACTGATGAACCAGTGTGTTCTGGTTTCAGACTTTGATGTAGAGAGCTATAGTAAATAAACTCGCACAAATACCTAGAAAGAGAAGCATAAATGCCTTAAACATCAATTAGGATGCATTTCAATTAACTTAACTTACAATATTACCTTCCAGCATCACAAGATGTTTCCAATTTACAAGGACACAATTTTGAATCCACTTCTTGGCAAATTTTCTCAACATTTAAATCTGTTTGAAGACACTCGCTTCCACCTGAAATTACGCATTATTTATTCAATTGACAAAATTTTTGTTTGCTGACGGATCCTTGTTTTCTCATACCTAAAACACAGCTATTTCGACTCGGACATTTGTATGAAATATCCTCTCGGCAATAATCTAAGTTATGGGCACAGGTCTCCAGTTGCACAACGTCTGTAAATCCTGAGACACCAACATGAACACATACCTACAAAATAATGCATTATTGACCTGCTAGCCAAAAGAAACTAATAAGTCAATATATGCACTTGAAAACATACTTTACCCTCGGTTTGTACTTTTGCCACAGAGCAGGAATCAAAGCAGAGACTGTTTCATATTCAACAGGAATTTCTTGTGTCGTTAAATTGATATTGTTTCCAAAACCAATGCTCTCTAATTCCTGGAACAAAGAAATAATGCTATATATTAATAACTGTCAAAATGTCAAATGGGAGATCATTTTTCTTTGTTAATATTTCATTACAAAATATATACCTTCACTGCTTCCCAGCTTGCATTTATCTTGTGCTCGCCAAATGGACCAAAACCTAAAAAAATAGCACATATTTGGTGAAAATTGTTTGAAACTGATGACCTGATAATTCCTTATTTATGTTATGTAATAATTAATAGAAATAAAGTATGATAAGAATGCATTCAAAGAACCTGTTACTAGTACTGAAACTCTGTCGTCCATTTGTCCGGAAAATCGTCGATCAATAACCCCTGTCTTCTCGGAAATCCAGAATTCTTTTTGCAAATCTAGAAATTTAGAACCAAACGTTACTAGAATTTAAGAATTTCTTTTCCTGTCTGCACAAACCAGGACACATCACAAGACGTTTTCCTTGGAAAAAGGAGTTCTTTTATTTTTGTGGTAACTGGTAATATCTTGTATGACAGTATGCAGGTGTATATTTAGTTGCATGGTTTGGAGATCTTCTGATGCGCGCCTGAAAATACGTAATACACTTAGCTTAACAGAAATCGCAGAAAAAAAACTAAAAATAATTGAATAAATGAAGTTTTATTATTAAGGAAAAGAACCATCAAAGGAATTCTAGGAAGAGGAAAATCTGATCATTCACAATGGAATCTTCGTCATTTTATCCAAGATGGCGGGTCGTGGAAGGGGTAGAGGAAAGTTTACCTTTGACGTTGCAAAAATTGGCTTTCAAAAAGGCGAAGCACTGCCTGCATCTATACAGCAACCGCCTCCTCTCTTTCCTGTAAGCATTTCTGCATTTTTTGTTTCCTTTTTTCTCAATGAAACGTGGCTGTGGCCTGTGGAATTTGTCCAATTTTCATAAAGTTTTATTTTATTTCAATTTTATTTCAGCCACTTGAATTCAAGCCATTGCCGCTAGAGAACTCCGAAAGTGATGTCTATAAGCTTGGCTTAAAACGAGAATACCGAGAAATTATACAAAAGTCAGCCTACTTTGTTGAACCTGTTGCTGTGAAGAAAGGTCTGGTATATGAAACAACATATATTACATATAGAAAACAACAGACTGTCATAATGAAATTCTTCCCTTTTCTCAGATGTTGAAAGATATACTGATAAATACAGGCAACAAAAGCCTGAGAATGAGGCAAACTGGGAACCAGGTGAATTTTCAACTCTGTCTTTATAAAGATATCCACATTATTCTTAAGCAAGTTTTGACATTTTAAGATTGGAATAGTTTGCCAGAGGAGTTAAAACAACGAACAAGAAAAATACGCAGCAGCGCAAGTGAGTTCAGCCTAAAGCTTCTTATTTTGTGAAGGAAAATGTCTAAATTTAATTGATTACGTCTGTGTCTCTAATTGTTTTGTATTTATTTTTTGAAGAGCCCAATCTGAATCGTGCGAGAACCGGACATGCGGGTGAAAAAATTGCTGATGTGGCAAAACACTTAGATGTAAGTACATTTGAAATAATTTCAGTGGCCCAAATGGAGCTTTTTGTAATGATATTAAATACAGGAAAGCCTGATCTTACGTTAAGTTTGTTAGCTCCAAAAAACCAATGTTTCAATCAGCTTTGTGTAACATCAGGCTTCCTGGGTTTGACGTCATTATGACTATTGTATTGATGTGTTAACAGGAGCTAGCAAAAAAGACGGAGGGAGAGGAAGAAGAAGATGACGAAGAAGAGGTTGAAGAAGGGGGGGAGGAACCAGAATATGATGAGATAGAACAAGAAGAGGTAAGAATCGTGCTACAAGTAGAAATTTATAGAGTAGTGTAGGCTACAAGTAGAATTTTATGCTCGCTGGTGAGAGGACAAAATGTGTACAATATGATTTATAAAGGCGGATCTACATGATGCTATTAGTCGCATGCAATTCTTATCCTGACGTATGAAAAAGATTGCTGACGCCACAAATCGTATACGACTAATCGCATCGTGTAGATAGGCCTTAAGTATTAATTTCTTAAAATTATGTCTGAGAATTGATCATAATCCCATGCTTAGTAAATCCAGATTAGGTTAGGTAGTTTTGGTGTTACTGTAGGATTTAGTTTAGATCTCAAGTGATTTAGATAACCGGAGGACCAAGGTGGGATTTATTCTGAAAGCTGAAATATCTTGTTAGGACAATGATTACCTTGTCTCCCACTACGATGATGGCGAGGAGGTTGGGTTCCAGGATGATGACGATATGGACGAGGGGCCAATATACTGAGTTGGGGACTGGCACTAGGTGTGTAAGCCTTGAATGGGACCAAGTCCCTCCTGAGTGTTAGAGAGCCACTCTACCATACTAGAAATGGCCATTGTGTGTAGGACATTTGCCGACAAGATAGGGGAGCCTCTGCATGGGATATCAGATATCACACTCTTACCCTGTTTATCCCAAGCAAACCATCGAAGTCCATCTTATGAACCGGTGTAAATGTTTCCAATCAAGCGACGAACTTCCCTGGGCAAACACAAAAATACATCATCCAGACACGTCATTTAATTGGACAGTCAAACTTGTTCACAGAACTATCAAAAATTACCTAATAATAATGGAGATAGTTCCAATAATAGATTTCACCTGAAAACCCAGGGTTTTTTCACTATTTACAAACACAGCGAGGGAGTTTTCAAAGCGATTATTTCGCTATAGTTGTTCATAAAATTTGAAGCTTTCCTCTGGGAAATATGAAGCATATTTCGTCAACTGGCTAAACATTTGAAAGTTTTTACTCCAGTTATATATATGAAGCTCAATGATCCACAATGCCGCACGCGTACAACACGCATGGAATATATTTACTCCGAGTAAAATTTATTACACATAATGATAAAGAGAGTTTGATTTAAAGTGGCTAGCGTGCAGATCCTCCGTGTCTTTCTACCACCACTCGTCTTCGCGATGGATGCATTTTCTCACTCTGAGGTCGCTCAAGAGCAACTCGTAATTTTCTCTGATATTCCTTCTCTGCCTCCTGGAAAAATTGAAATGAATATTTGGTCAATAAAAAGAGATATTCGCAGGCAGATTGCTTTACTCTCTTTCAGCTTTACGGCTGAGATGTTTATCAGTTTATGTGTATGTTTTCTTGAATGACAATCAGGTTCCCTGCTAAGCCGAGACCACTCAGACCAGACCACGCGCTCTTACCTTTCCAGCTAAAAATTCATCAAACGCTTCCTCTTTTTCTCTCGCCTTCGCTGTCTTTTGATAACCGATTTGCATTTGAAGATCATTTTGATACGAGAGATGTCGCTGTTTCAGTCGGTCGCTCGTCTCCTGGGCCATGCGTTTGTGTTCCTCCATCACTTTCAACAATTCGATTCGTTCTCTTTCTGCCTCTTGCTTCAATTGATCCTTCTTCTCTTCTGTTGGAGAAACAACATTGCCACGGTTGTGAGAATATTATTATTATTGAATTCCTATCTACAACAATGAACATGCTTTTATATCACCGTATTCATTTGCAGCTTCAGCATCGCCCGCTTTTCCTATATTCATCTACTGCTTCACTATATTCATCTCCAATTCCCCATACTTATCTCCAGCTTCGCCATATATCAATCACATTATTTCCATCTATCATCACCATGACTATATCTTAAACTTCGAACACCACATTCATCGCAAAATATCATCTCTAGTTACACCGAACTGATCTCTGCAGATTCACCACGACCACCTCTAACCTCACCATATTCATCTCCCACTTCACCATATTCATCTCCACTTCACCATATTCATCTCCCACTTCACCATGTATAATCACTCAAAAGCAATACACTTACTTTTCTCGTCAATCTGCTGTCGCCGCGTGTCCAACACGTTCTCCAACAACTTCTTTCTTGCCTCCCTCTCCAGCCGATGCTTGGCCAAATCCTTCTTCCACTTCATCTCCACCTCATCATGAATCATTTCCTCCAACCTCTTCTCCTTTTCCTGTTCATCCTTTCGATTCTGAGCAACATAAGCCATAAACCTAAGATTCTCCTCACGGAGATCACTCTTCCTTTGCACATCTGCCTGTTCCTGGTTCCTGGTGTCCTCTAAAAGTTTCTGAAGAAGCTGATGCTCTAAAGCAAGCTCCTCGTTCCTTTCTTTTGTCTCCTTCTTTTCTTTCAACTTGATTGAGGCATCGCGAACACGTTTCGCATGCTCTTGTCTCTTCAACTTCTCCTTTCTTGCCCATTCCTCTTCCTGCTTGCGAAGTTTCATCTCTTCCTTCAACCATTCTGCTTCTAAATCCTTCAACTTTTTCTCCTCCTCCGCTTTTTGGGAGTTCGAAGAGATTTGAAGTTGTAGCACCTGAAGAAGGAAGGGTTTTGTGAATGTCTGAGTAAAAAGCATTGGTTGGAGGGACCATGCACAAAAGGGTAATAAGACAGTTGATTGAGTTGCTGGGAACTCTAACCCAATAAAATGGCAATGCAGTCGGATGTGTTTTGCTGTAGTATATTTATACCATCTAATGCCAGATATTGTGTATGTTGTAAGTTAAACCATTAAGCTGTTCTAAGGATCTATCAACAACAGAAATTATGATGTACTGGTACTTTATACTTAATTGAAATGATAACTTTGATAGAATTATGAAAACATGCATCTTCAGTTGAATCACGAATATTTGACCTTTGATGTATTCATACCTTGAGACATTCTCTATTCCTTCCAATTAAATTCTTCTCTTCTTGTTCTTCTCTTTCAGCCTTTGCTGCGCGATCAGTTGCCCAGAGGTCTGCATACATCTTCTCAATTTCCTCTTGACGTTTCTTCTCTTCTTCTTTGAGCAAGATCTGTTCGTTTCTCTCGTGGCAAATCTGGTCTTGATTTTGCTTCGACTTGATTGACCTGAGCTCCTCACATTGATTCCTGAGAGAATTAGGTCATAAATAAGGCTAATCTCTTCCACTAAAATTTTTAACTAGCAATACTTCTTGACTGAACTGTTGGAATTGATATTGGTCATAATGAAAATATGAATTCTATTTTGTGAGCTTAAATTGAACAATGCTTACTACCAGATTTGCTGCAGCCAAAGAAATATGTGTTTGTAAATGTAGATTTGAGTTAATTGAGTGTGTGTATGTTGTTTAGTAATAAGTTCTGAAACACAACAATTAACTGGCCATTTTTAACATCCCAATTACCTCCATCTTTGGTCTAATTTTTCAGCGACAAACTCCTCTCTTTCTCGTTCTCTTTTCTCTTTCAGATGTTTTGCTCTTTCTCTCATCTTTGCCTGTCGTTCCAGTGTTGTCTCCTGCATGCTCTCCATCTCACTGATGTAATTCCGCTCTTCTTCCAGCAACATTTCACGAAGCATCTCCTGTCTGTCTTCCAGTGCAAATTTCTCCTTCTGTAGTTCCTGTTGTACCCTTCTCTTTATTGTGTTTCTCTCGATTCTTTTGTTCGTAGTTTTCACCCATGACGACTTCAGGTCGCATTGCTTTAAAAATTTCGTTTCTTCCCTAGCCTCTTCGACCAAGGCTTCCTTTCGTCGCTGCTCCAAAATGAGGTGTTCCGCAGGTCGCCTGCGAGTTGGCTTCGCTTTCTATCCAGGAAAAAGTACAGATTAAAAAAAGTCATATTGACCCTCTTTCACTGAAAATGGACCCTTAATTAGTTCATTAATTTTTGGTGTATTTTTGATAAGTATACTCTGTATGATCTTGGAGTACAATATTGAAGGGCATACTGTCCAGTCAGATCAGCAAAGTTGTGAGCGGCCCTATACCCAAGGTCATAGGAAAATTCACAGGTATACAAGTTCAATTATATAACGTTAACAACACATGGAAGACACTAGTTTAACCTTTTATATTATTTCAAGCCCCCAAGAAACCAGATCGTAAATATCCGATGTAGATTGTAGAGCATTATCAAGGATCAAATGTTCCAATAAAAAAAAATACAGATCTACCCCCTTTAGCTACAAATCGTGGCAGTTAATAACTTAAATATATGCTCCCACATAACATCCCTTACGCGTTATTTCGTATGAACGTTTAGAGCGATATACAATGTACAGAAATCGTCTTTTAAAATACAATATTAAATATAATATTACAACACTCAAGATATGTGAAGTACATGCGTGGACATAAACCTTTACTTACAATTGCTACGGAATGAGGAGTTGGTCCAGTGAACTCTCTGTGTCTTCTAGTATAGTCTGCTAACATTTTGAAGCTTTTAAAACAATCTAAACATAAAGATTTTGCTCCGCTTTTTTCGCTAAAACTGTTTACGATTCTCGTCGGTCATTTTGCATTTGTTGCCATGGATACAACACTCGCTTCGTTGATACGCTGACCTTGGTTTGCACTGGAGTGATGCATTAGGTTATCTTCTCGAATTTAATAACAAAGCCAATCGATATCTTAATCCTAATCCAAAACCCACCTCTATCTTAAACTTAATCCAAATCTAATTTCCACTCTTTTTAATCATACTTCTTCAGTGAATTGCGCCTGCGCGACACTAAAAGCTTTCTCAGCTGGGGGTGAACGGAAAATATGCGAATAATCTTTTACATAGTTCTACGTAATAAAAACATTTCAGGAATTTTACTTCCCACTGAGCTCTTTGTCTCGATGTTTTGCTCGGAACAATCATATTGAGTGTTTATTTCAAACAAAGTGCTGTAGTATCAATGAACTTTAAAAACATACATCCTGTTTGGATTCTGGTAAAGAACATTAGCTGTCTTTTCTTTCAATTGTAAAGCTCCAAGTTCCCTTAGTTTCTTTCACTTATTTGGCGGATACGTTATAGTGCTTTTAAAAAAAGGCACGTAAGACCACACATTTTTTACAGTTTTTTTTTTAATTTTTTTAAATGTACGTTCGGGGTGCGTTCGATAGTCACCTGTGATTTGCCATAAGTCAAAAGGACGCACCCATAATCGTAGATTAATTGTCACATTTTTGTCGACGACTTTCTTAGAAAAAAAGTTGTCATTTCGAAGGCTTGTTAAAATCTCATAATCGTTAAAGACTAATTGGTGAGGTCTGAATTACATTGAAATATTTCACAACAGGATTATAGATTAGTTCAGTGTGAGCTAATGTTACATACACTTCAAAAGTTATCAGTCATTTTATACAAAACATGTCTCAATGTTTAAAACTGCTGATTTATGCAAGTTGAAATTCAGTTCTAAAATTATGCGGCAAGGGAACGTGAGTTTACAATGTTTTTTAGCACAAAAGTTAATAAAAGAGTTTCCCAAACGATAGGTGCTTGATGGTAGAACTGCAGAAGAACCTTCCTTTCGCCGTTGTGTTTTGCCAGAAATGAACGGTGAATGGTTAGCAAGTTTATCGTCATTTCATCGTCGAATCAAGATGCAGAGGAAATTGAGATCACAACTGCAATGCAATATGGTTCAGAGAAATTCGTAGCCATTTTTCGATACACACAGTTTGTTTCTCTTTAATCTAGTGTTCCTTTATTCGACCATACACACTCATCATATTTCCTTCAGGCGTGTGACATGGGGGGTTGAATTACCCTCCCCCCCTTTTACACCCTCTCCACAAGGTCAAATTTATGCCACCCGGCCAATTTTGGGTACAGTAATCCGTTTTAATAATTTCCGTGAGACACTTTCAGCGACTTTAAAAGTTCATAAGTATCTCTTTGTGGCTTGCATCACCACAAGATCTAACGACATCTGTCAAACTTCATTAACCAAGTGTTGCGTGGAATTTTAAAAACTGAAAGACGAAAACGATATTATTTTTGTCCAAATTGAAGATCCATTTGCGAATTTTTGCGCCAAAGTCGTTTTCCTAAAGCGGGAATGATGAACAACAAGGGTTCATGGTAAGAAACAATAGCGAAATAATTGGCATATTTTGTTTGGTCTGTGATGGTGAGTAATGACTTTAAAAGGATCTTAAGGCTGTTTAAAGGTGACCTGCTCACCCACGCATCAAAAAAGCTTCAGCCAAGCAGTTAATCATCTTATATTTTCTCACTTATTGTTCATTCAATACACGGAGCCTTGTTTATCGTCATAGCAACAGTGATGGCGTGATGCTGCTATGGTTTGATATGGCGCAGACAATATTTTTAGACATTTCGACTTAACGTTGAAGAGCGCGAGCTGGGAACGAGTTACAAGTAGCAGATCTAAGCAGATCTATATATGGCAAGTGGCAACCCCAAAGGGCTGACTTCGGAACTCGGTCAGTAAACATAATATAAACCGTATCGGAAATACAATAAACCAAACGCCAAATTCCTCAGTTGACTCGCTTTTTCCTACAAGTTTTAGGTGACAGCGTATAGTAATACCATATTCCAATCAAGTTCGAAAACAGCTAAAGCTTTGCTAACTAGAATCAAGATAGATGTTTCTGGTTTGTTTCCTCTGGTTTGACCCATCACCAACCCCAATGAGGCCTCTTGTGAAGGCGTTTACGGTTCATCCGTTTCGAAAGCATAAGTTTACAATTCGTTTCCCATATCATAATTCTTCATTCAAAACGTCTGTTTTGTGAAAAACGTGTTGGTATGAAATTCAGAGAATTATCACGCAGGGCAATAACTGCACATGAATTTGATTGTCAGATTTTTCCGTGCTGAGCTATTTTTATATATTTTTAAAGCCATTTCCTAACTATTTGCGTCATGAAATTAGAACCTTGCCTATATAGTATTAAAAGGGTAACACTTTAGAAATATATAAAAAAAAAGCAAAAGTAGGAAGACGAAGTGCGCTTTTAAACGTGAGGCATTTGTTTTTGCAAATAAAACAAGGGTGCAGCAAAGAAAAAAACTTTAAACCTATTTTCAAACCAAATAAATAAGATATAAACCACAATAAGGTAAGGTTCTATTATTTCATTTATTTGTTCCGGAATATCATCGGATCATCCCGGCTACGTGCATTTCCGACGTTCCTCACGGGAAATGACGAAGCCATTTCAGGGGGAGTGGAACGACACATAACACTTGCTGCTCGATAGGGAAGATTTACACATCTTTTTAGAAAGTATGGTTGCAATCTTTTTGCTTTCGACGGCAGATACAAATAATTTGAGGGCTTTCGAGGCTTGGCGGCAATAATTCATGCATATACGCGCCCTCTACTAGCGCGTTTCGTTCAACAGAAGGCCATCGAGGCGAAAGCGAGTGACTGAAAATCTGCCGGAATGCACGGTACGGAAAATTTCAAGGAAAACATACACGAAGACTATGACATCGAAGATGAACTTGGAAGGTAGGCTGTCGTTTTAAATTATCGTTAAAGAGGAGACCAGTTGTGTGGCTAGAGGTCTGTTGCTTTCAATTTTCCCGAAAGCGTTGTGATTTTGCTATTCTTGCGACAGATTGAAATTAATGGCTGTACTATGGGGCAATGAACTCGGCCATGTTATTAGCGCATCGGGATGTAGAAGAGTCTGTCGCGATAAACATGTTACTCTAATGTCTCTCTTTTTGTTTGTTTTTTAAAGGGGACAGTTCGCCGTGGTCCGTAAGATAGTCGAGAAAGACACCGGCGATGAATTCGCGGCGAAATATGTGAGGAAAAAGCGGACGGCAGCCAGCCGCAATGGCATGACCAGGAACGACATTATACGCGAGATAGAAATTTTGCGCATGGTAGATAATGAGAAGATCATAAAAGTACACGACGTATATGAAACTGATAGGGAGATTATATTGATCATGGAATTGTGAGTATAACATTGATAGTTTAAAGATATTGTCTGACCATATGACGAAGCGCGTTTGCTATCATTAAAGTGTAGTGTACTTGTGTACCAGCAGCGTGCTTCGAATTGCCCTGTAAAAAATTGTACAATTCGCCCCCAAGTTTGTCATTTCGTCGCAGCAAAAGCCGTGTTTTTTTCACCTAGGCTCCGCGGTGGTGAACTCTTTGATTATATCTCGAAAAAGGACTATTTGACCGAGGAGGAAGCCATTGATTTTACCCGGCAAATTTTACAAGGCTTACAGCATCTACACAGCCGGAAAGTGGTGCATTTAGATCTGAAGGTAGGTTTTGTGTTACACGAAAATTAATCAAGAAAGAGATAGCGTAGGGTTTAGAATCAGAGATAGATCTGTCCGGAGATATTTTATTGTATAATATAAAATTTATGAACCGTATTTATTTTGCCATATTAGCATATTTTGACAAAGTTATAAAGTCATTTTGTTGTCATTAGACTGTCTACAATGGAATTCGCAATGTCTAGAACGGCACAAAATCAACATGAAGCAAATTTCTGTGCGTTTTTGCACGTAAATTTTGAACCTAGGGCACCGTTTTTAAAGCGAAATGCTTTTGCCATTTTGAAGTGAAAGAAACAAACGATTATATGTAAAAAACCGCGGTCTTCGTGGCTAGGAAGTTTAAAGCTCATTCATAATGCATAATTACTCGTATAATCGAGTTCTATGATTGCGATTTGATTGAAAAATAAAACGCTTTCACGACGGTCTGGTTGTATAAAATTTGGCAAATACTCGCCATTGCCAAAAATGGTAGGGAAAACACAACCGGGTTATGACGAAATCTGTCGATTTAGCTCGCTAACAGAGAGCTAAGGACATTCAACATTTGTTGTCCAATTAATGTTAATTTTTCTTTATTTAAACATTTTCTCAATGATCCGAAGCCTAGTATGACGGGAATCTCGAACATTCTTTTAAACCAATTTACCTGCAATAATTGCTATTTTTTTGGCTCGAAATCGAGAATACTTCTGTTTTGTAATAAAAATGTAAACATTGCGCTTCGCAAAGAAGCCTTTGTATTTTCGTACAAGGTGGGATGATATATGCGATTGTCCTCTTGCTAATATCGAAACATCGATTGCCAATCATGTATTAATTCTTTGCACTATAAATAGTGCACTTGTTGAAAAACATTTAAGATATTTTGTTAATTTTGCTGAAATACAACTGCTATTAATACACCGCCCGGGTCTTGCAGTTAAATGTTCGCCACGCTTTGCCGTTTCACGTCAAATAAATTCATGTGGAAGGCTTTGAGCTCTTTTGAAATGTATTCCATTGAACGGTGCGCCATCGTTTGGTGTTTTAGTGAGCTTAATCGTATCAAATTATCGAGGAATTTTGTCTTTAGAAAATTTATGAAAACACATCTATCATTTGACGTATAAAACGGTTTGTAAATGGACTGGTTTTTGCCGGAATTTCGGCTACCCCTCGCGAGGTGAACAAACGTGGTTGTACTGTTATAGTTATTCTCTACAATGCATGCCATAAAACGAATTTAAAAACATAGACAGCACAGCCAACTAAGGTGACATGCCTTTCTCTGCTCGCAGCATGAGCTGGTCGCGTGTGGTGCGATTTTAGCTTAACCTAAACCATAGCTGCTTATAAAATTTAACAGATAGCGTCTGAAATATTAGCAGCCGTTGGACGTGGTTTAGCAGGCCGATTATTAAATCTCGTCGCACGCTGATTTTTTGCCAAATTTAGCCACTCTGAACCCACGGTGTTGACACATGCGCTCATGATAAAAGACATAGCAAAACGTGGAATGTTGCTGGACCCCTTGCAGCTTGCAATACAAACAATTTGTCAGCTTGCTTGCTTTGTCTGATAGCAATGCGAAAAACCGTGGCAGAGCACATCAGTGCAACGCTGAATTCACCGGTTTTAATGCAAGATTCCTCCCTAAAACATTGTATTGAAAACATTCAAGCATTTCTGTATAAACACCAAGCATCTTCAAGCGTTTCAGACTGAAATGCTTTTCTCGAAAATGAGTTTGTTTAATTAATTCAGTGAGTTGACTTGCTTAGGGTGTTCACATGAAAAGCAACCTTTCCTGAATCTTGAAATAGTACCAAGTTAGACTGCAAACTAACCTAGTTAGGGATTGGACAATTGCCAGTTTCTGTACTGAGTTATGAAGAAAATTTGCAGGATTTATACAGCTTATGTAGAACAAAGTTCATGCAAGGTTTTGTCAATAGCTAACAAAAACAGCCCTACAAACTGGTGGCTAGTTTGCATATTTGTAGTGGGAAATACAAAGCAGGTGTTACTGTGTACATTGCTGCCAAGCACCCTATCATCAAATTGCCCACAAACAGTACTGTACCACTTAGAAATTGTCTGGAATGAAAGGGATCTAAAGTAGGATGCATCATTGCCAAGCTAAAAATAACTATTGACTTACAACACTTCAGTCTGTTTGTCACATTAAGTAAACTTTTCTCTCCAATGCTGTGTAAATTATTGCCAGACCTGACTCGAAAGCTTCGCATGCAAGAATCCCAGAACTTGTGTTCAGGTTGACCTGTGTAAAAATATGCGTTTTCTAATCATGTAGATCAACTACACATTTAATTTAAACTGTCAAAATGCAGGTTTATCTTAGATTGATTTATGGTTTGTTGGATGTACTAACTGTATGTGGGTTGCAGATAACCTTGCCAGGCATTAAAAAGCAATTAAAGTCTGTTTGTTCAGTCTTTCAGACACTATGATATGCGTAATGAGATTTCTGGATTAGTTTTAAGTATTTGGATTGAAATATACCCATGTAAGGCACAAAGTAAAAGTGCAATTTATCAATACTTTTAGCAGCGAAAAGGTTAAAATATACAATTCTTTTTTTCATGAAAAACAATTTTGTACTTGTGTATCAGAAATTGTTGTTTTTCTCTTATTTAGCCTGAAAATATTTTGTTAAAAAACACAAGAAGAAAAACCATTAAACTGGTTGATTTCGGTCTGGCTCGAGTCGTCAATGAAAATGAGCCTGTTCGAGAAATCATGGGAACTCCTGAATTTGTAGGTAAGATGCAAAACATACCATTTGTGAGAGAATTTTTAGCATATGTCAAAACAAGTATACTTTCATATTAAAAAAAGTTATCTCGGTCCTTCTTATTCCTAATGAAATTACTGTCATCAAATTACACATCCCCTCCCTCTCAATTGTTTTATTACATTTGAATGGTCTCAGAGTTTTAAATTGTCTTCTGATAAACTTTTCCCCCCTCTTGCCTTCGCTCTTGGGACAATTTGGCAAACTTTAAACACGACTACAACACTTCGAATACAGACCTTTTAGCAAAATAATATAAATTCTACCTTTAGCCAGAATAGGTCCAGAATCCTACTTTTATGAGAATCTAGTTTTAAGAGTAAAAATGTTCTGTTTTCTAGCCCCTGAAGTGTTGAATTATGATGCAATCAGCACAGCAACTGATATGTGGTAAGTGAGATGTTATAATGATAAAGTATTTCTATAAATATCGAAGTGCAATCGTCTGTTCGCTTTCCTGTTACTCAATTCAAGACTTTTCTCTGCAGGGCCTTGGGAGTTATTGCATATATTCTGTAAGTTATTAAAACAATTTGTTTTGTATATGCAACTTGTAATTCTGTGTTTTAGCAAGTTTTGACCATTCATTCAAGAGCCAGTTTGATCTATAATTAGGGTTTAAAACTGATATATTTCTAACACACAAATTCGTCTCCCCAAGGCTAAGTGGTGCATCTCCATTTTTGGGTGAATGTACCCAGGAGACCTTCACAAATATCATTCAAGTTGACTATCAGTTTGACGAGGAATATTTCTCGGAGATCAGCGATGAGGCGAAAGACTTCATTCGAAAACTTCTTGTGAAAAACCCAAGGTATGAAATCAATGAATGAACCTCGAAATCAGTTGCTCATTTATGCCATTATGGAAAGCAAGTGTAATATCTTACAGTGCAGCGAGTCATGATATCTAACATGAAGTTCTTGAAATTTTTTTATAATTGCATTAAGGCTGCTTTCCACTTAGCTACGCGTTTTTTATACGCACATACACGTACGGAAAATTTTAACATGTATAAGGATTTAAACTTTTACGTGCGTGTACGTGCGTATGAAAAACGCGTAAGTTGAAAGCAGCCCTTAGGGTGATTCTCTGGTCACACATGTGTGTGACATTGCTGTCTCTTCAGGCTTCATATTTTGCATGTAACAAAATAGAATCGCATTGTCACGTGTGTGACCAGAGAATCACCCTGTTAGATATCATGACTGAGGAAGACTGAGAAAGGAGTACGTCATTTAAGTCATGTCATATGTAGTTTATCACTTGTTTTTTCCGTTTTAGGAAACGAATGACCGCCCACGACTGCTCCCGTCACCCTTGGGTTGAAGAGGAGGTGGGTGTTTTGTCTTTTGATAAATTCCTTAACTTCCCTACCCCACAATCCCCCTCCCTCCCTCCCTTCCTCCCTCGTTCCTTCACCCGCGTCTCATACCATTTCATACACATTCAGGTTGTTGATAAAAAGAAGAGGCAGAGAAGAAGAACGACCCAGATTTGTACGTTCAACTTCAAACGATTTGTCGCGAGAAAACGATGGAAGGTAATCGATCTCCAGTATTGAATTTAACATCGTGAAAATCTAATCTGCAAGGGTGAAAATAAAACTTATTTCATTCTGGAAACATGAGCTTAGGAATCTTCTGTAGAATGTAGAATGGAGTTGTTTGTTTTTTTCTGTGGTATTTTCTATCTCCTTCGCGATACATGAAATGCTCTCGCATATTTTAAAGGAAGGCCAAAGACTTTTTGTAATCCCGATTAGGAAGTAATGTGATGGATTAGCATTAAGTCAAATCTTTAATCATTGTTTAATCTGCTGCAGATGGCTTATAACAAAATCCGTGCAATGAACTTGATTGCAAAGATGGGAATCAGGCCTCCGCCAGGATTCATCACTGAAATTCCCCCCATGGTTGAAAAGAACGGTGAAAGTCCCAGCCCAGAGGTACGTTTAAACGTAAACACCGCCCAGGGGGACCAGAGGTGTTAATTGTCCAGTTTCATATTGCGATACGCTGATGCAATTAGCATGCACGCGTCACAGGCGCATGATGAAATTGGACTCAAAATACTTCACGGTTACGTGGGTTGAAAATTCTTTGTTTCATGACTGTTATTTCTGGCAATTGGCTTGGAGATCTCTATCTAAAAGAGTAGGTGTAGCCGTTCTGTCTGACTTTTAGTGCTTTTAAACGGATCTAGTGGCTCCTGGCAAGCAAATTTCCGCTAACCACGCTTTCTCCTGCCAGAGGACCGATCGTTGACACATCTCAACTGTTCCTGGTTTCAATTTTGGGTGTATAAGATCTCCACTCAAAAGACCCCTTTAACAAGTAGAAAATATCTTAATTGTTTTGTGTGTTTTTTAGCCTCAACCTGTGGAGGAGAAACCAGCTCCACATAAGGACCACAAGAAGAAAGAATCTACGATTCATCGCAAGAAACATAAGCATCCAAGCTCTTCGAAAACTCCCGTCGAAAAAACCGATTCCCTCACGTTGAAGACGATGGACATCGATATCGGCGAGGGACAAAAAGGGGAGCCTGAGCCCGAACCTGTTGACGAAAACGAGCCTCCGGAAGAAGTCGCTCCCAGTCCCATGGTCGAAGAGCCGGTCAACACGGGCCCCCTGACGAAGCGGGAAAAAAGACGCCTTCGCGGTCAGCTGCGGACGGACGAGATTGCGAAGTCGAAGAAAGTGATCGACGCGAAGCAGGTTGAACGCCCGCCCGATGACGCGGTAAACGGTAGCGAAACCGCTGAAAATGCGCCCGCGATGGACGTCGATGAAACGCCGCCGCCCGCAGACGAGAAGCCAGCGGAGACGGTGACTAGCACGATGCAAATTGACCACAAGCCCGCTGCCAAGACGCCAAGTGGTGGGGTTTTGAAGAAGAGCAAGGCGACTCGAATCCCAAGCACGGAAGATCATTATTTTGTTACGCTCAATGCAGCTCTGCTTCAGCAGGACGATGCGTTTTATTATTCTGGTTTGCAGCCGACACGTCAGCATGGGATTCTCAAGCACTCCGGCGAAACGAAGAAAAACGTTTCCGAAGTGAAAATGACCCCGTCCGAAAACTTACCCCAGGTTTTCAACGATGTACCGAAAGATTCCGAAAGCGTTCCGAAAGATTCCAATGGGTTGCTAAAAGGTGCCGAAGAGCCGCCGAAACCGGTCGCGAATAGGAAAGTCTCCGAGTTCACCACGGTTGTCGAAGTTCTCAGCGGAGGAGGTAGACCGCCTAGCAGTGATTACCCGGGCCAGGGGGGAATGGTTGTCGGTCTTCAATTAGACAAGACCGTCGCGCATTCGTCCGAAAAAGTGACTGGTACCGACAAGAAAGCTGACGTGCCAAAGACCGAGAGCAAACCTGCTCAGCCCGATTCCGATCCTAAACGAAAACCCTCAGGAAAGGAGGGCACCGCCCCGCCTCTTAAGAAACCCCTCGCAAAAACGGATAACACCTTGCAGACGAGAGATTTCACACCTCCCCCGTGGCAGAGGAAATCAAGCAGAGAGAATCTCAAGCCATCCTCACAACCCGTGTACGGTGTTTCGAAAATCTCGCTCAACAGAAACCGTTTCGTGTCGGATGACAAACAGCCCGCCTCGAAGTCCCCGACCAACGCGCCGGCGACACCGAAATCTTCCAACGTTCTCGGAAAAAGCAAGCTTTTCGAAAAAGAAGCCAATCAACCGGAACCCAAGAAAGCAGCCACAACGAAATCCGAGCCAGAACTGAAAAACCTCGCATGCGAGATCAACTTGGACGATAGCCCGGAGAAAAATAGTGAAAGCAAACCTCGCTCCAATAGCCAGGCAAGAGTTCGTTCCGACAGCAAGCCTAAGGTTCTCTCTGATAATGAATCAAAATCTCGCTCGAACAGCCAATTGAAAGCGCAGTCAAAGACGCGTCCAGACAACGCGAAGAACGAAGAAAATAAAGAAAGCAAGTTTACTGCGAACGCTTCAAGATCACGGTCGGGAAGCCAAAGAAAGGACGACGGGATTACGAAAGTTTCGAACGGCGAGAACGCTAAAAAATCGAAAAATAATACGCCTCGAAGTACGGAAGAAGTTTCACCTTCCACCACTGTCCAGGTCTCCGCCGGGAATGAAGAAGCGGAGCGGGAAACTGGGAAGGAGGTTAAGGAGCAGCTGTCTGGTTCGGCGACTCGCAGTTTGACTGAGGTTACGGTCATGCCACGCGCTAATTCGGATGAAGAGAAAACAGGCGGTTTTGACATTATGCTTACTGTTGCCCCGCCGCCAACTGACGAGCCCTCGCAAGAACCACGCGCGGTGTCCTCGATGAAAACGCGATTCACATCGACATCGTCCTCGTCGTTGCCCGACCCGCGCTCGGGACTCGCCAACGGCAAGCTTACGTCATTGAGTACCAACGATATGACGTCGCTTTCAACGAGGTACACGCCGCAGAAAAGGGACTTTTCGAAATACCTCCAAAATGAATCATCAAAATCCATCAAGACCACCGGAGTTCCTACAAATACCAAAGCACCCGGGTGGCAGCTGAAGCGAAATAACCCTCCGAATACAACAACTACCCCTCCTAAAATCACTGTTACCCCGAAAAGTCCCAGTACAGCCACGACTGTATCGGTTTCACCCGCCGTAAAATCCGCTACAGCAAAAGTTCATATGTCGATTCCAAAAGGCAAAAAAACTGCCGTAAATTCAACGGTGTACATACCAACACGATCCTTCGGCTTTACGACGATGACCGGTAATCAAACGGAACTTACCGCAAAACCTTCGGAACCCGATGATTCGACGAAGTTGAATAACAATGACGAATCGAAACGTTGGTCCCAGTCTTCGTATACGAGCGATCGTTCGGGAAGTTCCGCTTCGTCCGACGACGTAGTCGCCGAGAACAACGAAATAAACCGCACGAATTCGAACGAAAAAATTAGCATAAAAGATCCTGAAATTTCGCGGCAAATTGAAAATCATTCTGAGAAATCGAGCCCAGTTACGCAACGAAAATGGAAGGCGAAGCTCGTCCTTCCGGAAGAGTCCAAGAAAGTGCCTTCGGCGCAAGATCGGGACACTCGGATATCGTCGACAAATGCGCCTCGGAAGAATAAATTCTCTAACGTGCGATCAATGTGGGAAGGAAAATAGGGTCTGGTATCCTGCAAAAAAACGCGTGTGCTAAACACGGAATTATTTCATTTGAAATACGAACAAAGTTTGTAAAATATTAAGAAAATCAATTTAGCGGCAAAGTTTGATATACATATATAAATATATATATATAAATCGTATTTTTATATGAATTGTTAGGAGATTTCCGCTATTATAATTTATATTAAATCTACTATAAAGAAGGACGAGGACAATTGCACAGACCATTCTATGAATTTCACTTTGACGGACACATGAATGATGAATTATCAGAATCTTTGCTGTCAATGTATTTTGGAGTAGAAAGTTTTGGGTATCAATTAGATTATTTGCAAAGGTTTTGTTTTTATTTTTGAAATTTGAAGATATTTTTAACGTTTTTCCTGGTTTCGTATGCAAACTGTCTATTTAACCATCCAGTCATACCACTAATAACATGCAGATCAGTGTAAGTTTAACCAGTCCAGTGGGTCGAATCATTGCAGAGTTCAGTGAGCCATTGATCTCTGCAAATTTACTGGATAGTTACGCCAGGTGACGATCGTTTGATGTAAGATGACGTTTTCCATGGTTCCAAACTTCGCGGGCGCTTCCTTGGTAATTTTATTGCTTTGATCCAAATAAACATTCGGAACTCGATCGATAATTTCCAAAACTGAGCGTTTTTCTTTGCATTTTACGCTCTTCGGAGGCAAATGTCTGCCTTTCAAGGACTGAAGAAAGAAATCAGGGTTCTTGAAAAGGTTTTCCATGCGAAACACGAGCGTTTTCGCGTAAAAGCGAACGGTCTGGACGAGCTTTCCTGTCACTTCCTCGGGGCTAATGGCGAACAGTTTGTCATTCATTGCAATATATATGTGAGTTTAAAGTGCTTGAAAATCTCTTATTCCTCCATTCTGTACTATGCGCTTTATAAAACGAGTATGTTTAAACTGATTGAGAATTATTTAACAGGAGTCCTATCCGTGTGTCGTCCCAATGTGGTTCACGGAAAGCGACGAAAACTCAGTGGTCGATTCTGTGGAAAAAATCGGTGGAGAACAACACGGAAACGTCGAGAAATTGGTTAATATTAAACCTTTTTTTCTTGTTTTTCCTCTACCAATCCTAGGCTCTCCAGGAAGACAATTTGGGCCATTTACAAATTCGTATATTTTAATATTATAACGCTGTCTGGCCGCGTGTCCTTTGCATAAACATTTTCCCCTATGTACACAGATCAGGTGTTCTGTACAATATAATATCAATTTCTCTTTCGCTCTTTGTCTTTAGTTGACCAAAATGACGAGCCATCTGATCGAAGAGTTGTGTAAAAAGCAAGATTTGGAGGTTCCTGAAGTCGTGAGGGGTTTAGAAAACATAGAAGTTGAGGTATTTCACTATTTTCTAATGTTCATTTATTTAATAAACAGGTCGTAAACTCAATAGGATACTGAGCCATTGAGTTTTAAATTATGCAGTTTTTAATGAGGGATTATTAAATTCGCTACTCTTTGAGTTTTACATAGTTTTATATGACCTATACTTTTCCATATAAATTGTTGCTCAGAATCTATGGCATAAATCAACAAGCATCTGTAGTTTAAAAAAAAAACCAAGTACATGTTAAGTGTGCTTAAAAGCAGGGCATTGGAAATGGTTTCAGGACAAGGATTAGTTTTCTTGGGTCTATTTGGATGTTGTTGAACTAGGGTCTCTTGAGATAATCTTTGATTGACATAATGCTGATTTGGATAGAGTGAGCTTTGACTTAAGAGCTAGTCAATGTTTTCCACAAAGAGGAAACTCTTAGTGCAGCTGAGATGTGCTTGACAGCACTTTTCACACCTTATTAATCTCCCTGTAAAACTCGTATTTTCATTGAACTTTGCACACTAGGCTCACATTCATCCTTAGAGCTGCTCCCAAGGGCATTCCTGAAAACAAATTTGCTCCCCATATCTCTTTAGATTTTATAGCATTTTCACACCCAAGATCACATTGAAAACTATCCAATTTTGAAGTGTGCGTATTTGTCCTTAAATTGTGCTTCTCAAATCAACTTGATCTTGAGCATTGCTCCCTATGGCTTCCTAGTCACCTTTGATAAAGAGCTATTTTTAAAAAACAGAAAATTATGCATACTTCAATACTTCAAATACTGTACCACATTTGAACTCCTTCTATTCATTGGGATAAAATGATAGCAATATAAATTGAAGAATTAAAGCTTGATCATATTATCAGCCCATCAGAGAGATTAGAGCTTATTGTACATGCACCACTATCCTTTATGCTTTAGCCTTAGTTCTGCTTCACAGTAATGTTCGTCTCCTCTCTTGTAGGAAGAGAATGACTGCAACGAAGAAATGAGCAAAGATGAGGATGATGAAGAAGAAATATTGTACGAAGAGGTTAGTGATATTCTAATAGATCCAACTGTAAGCTTGGGATAGTTAAACGTGCACCACCTCAAACAAAGACCTGTTTATTTGCCTACCTGCAGGAAGATACTGAAGAATATGATAATTATGAAATGGGCGAGGAAAACAACAGGTTTGTGTGTTTTTGTTGTTTTTGCAAGAGAGAGTAGCAGCTCATGATTTGAATTGTTGAAGTCGCTTCAAAGTTCATTAATTGCAATTAGTTTATCATCGTTTTCAGTCAAAAGAAAAGTGAGGAACTAAATGGAATTAGTAAAGAGAATTTCGCCGTTCTTGAAAAATTAAGATTGAACCAACGTGATGAGCACCTTAAGGTATTACTGAACAATACTAGCATGTTATAACGGTACTACACATATTTTCACTGTTTAATTGGAATTTTTTGAGATATCCTGATTAATATTGCAATTGATGTGTTTCATTGATAGGGTACTGTGTCAGGTTCTGTTCAAGCCAGCGATCGACTGATGAAAGAACTTCGAGAGGTGTACAGATCAGATAGTTTTAAAAAAGGTATAGAATTATGTTTTATGCAGCATACAAGCAGGTGATGGGTCTTAGAGGATGTATTGTACATAAGGTATCCACATTACCACCCCTCTGCTACTCTCTCACCACTCCCAAGAGCCATTGCACATGGTGAATGAATCCTTGTATGTGGAGCATGAAATATTTATTGTCTGTAGGTTTATAGTAAAAAGTTCTATGATAAATTGCTGCAAGATTAGATGGACAAGAATATTAGCATGTTTTAATAAGGCTTATCAACCAAAGATGAAATAAAATCATTCATCTATGTTATATTTCTAGGCTTATACCATGTCACACTAAATAATGACAGTCTTTATGATTGGATTATCGAAATACTAAAGTAAGTAACAAGCGTTAAATGGGAATTCCATTTAGTATATGGAATGAAATTTGACCAGTTGTTGACTGTTTGTATGGAACACCACAGATTGATTGTTCATTCTAATTTTTCTATCAGAGTTGACCCAGACAGTTCACTTCATAAAGATTTAATACAACTAAAAAACAAAGGCGGCAAAGGAAACATCACCTTAAATATGACTTTTACTGTGAGTGATTAAAGCTACATACATCTCATTCTGTCATTGACATCTATTAATAGACCACAACTATTGACCATTCTTGAGTTCCTTCATTCTTTCTTTCTTTTTCTTTAATTAAGCAACAGGATTGTGAATCTTGAATTTTGAGTTAACTAGAGCATTTAATAAATACTACAATTAATTTTCTCTCTTCCTCTCTAGGATAAATTTCCATTTGAACCGCCTTTTGTTAGGGTCATTTGTCCCGTGCTCAATGCAGGGTAGGCTTAAATTTAACTCAAGTATGCTTCATGAACAACATGTATTGTCCATAAATTTATCTGACAGCAGGTATAATTACTCTTGTTTATTTTCAAGGTATGTTCTAAGTGGCGGTGCTCTGTGTATGGAATTACTTACAACACAGGTAACTATGTTTAGTAACAGCACTCAAATTTGTCATCCATGGTTGATGGTAACAATGCAAAGTTTTATTTATTGTCTTAGGGTTGGAGCAGTGCCTATAGCATTGAGTCTGTGATAGTACAAATTTCAGCTACACTTGTAAAGGGAAAAGCTAGGATAAACTTTAAAGAAAATGATAAGGTAAGATAAGTTAAGCTTAAACATTTGTTAAGCATTAAGGTTGTATTAAAATGTTTGCACACGTATTGTGTATTTGTTGACATTCTAAGCAGGTGCATTATTGTTTTAATTTCAAGCCGGATTCATATAATATGGCAAGAGCACAACAATCCTTTAGATCACTGGTTCAAATTCATGAAAGAAATGGTGAGTAATTTCATTTCATGTCATTTTTGTGATGAAATAATCATCCTATTATCAATTTACCTTGGGAAACAGTTTCCCTTCATTTAAAGAAAACAGGTTTTTCCGAAACTTTTTTTATTCGTAGGTTGGTTTACGCCACCAAAAGATGAAGGTTGATAGTCCAAATGAAAACATTTATTCCCTCCTCTGTACAGTTGCCCGAATTGTGTCCAGCCCTTCTGGATTCATCAATACACATTCATATTGCTGTGTTCTTAAATACCTCTAAAAAACATCCAGCATTTGTAAAATATTTACACAGATTTAAGTTGGGACATGTCTTCAATATTGGTAACTTTTGGCATTCTGTTTTGCCTGAGAATTCAAGAAATATTAGAATCAGAATTTATTATTTTTGATGGGAAGACAAAAGATATTGTAGATAGCCTGTATATCCATTCTGATGTTGTAAAATGTTTGCCCTCGAGAAAAATATGCAAAAACTCAAATGCACATCAGATGTGAAAATAATAAAATTGACTTTGCATACAGATTGCGCATTTAGTACAACTTGGAAAGTGTTGTAACAGAGTCATTTTATAAATACATGTACATTCTTTTCTTAAGTTTGTTGCTTCTGTAAAAAAGTATGATGTTCAAAGGTCTGCAGTTTTGCCAATGAAGGCCTGAAATTCAGACAAGCTTGTTAAAGCCAGTTTTTCTGAGAACGAAACATCTGAAAGTGTAGCAATCCTTTCTAGTTGTGATCCATCCACCCTATCAGCGATAACATTCAAATGTTTTAGATAGTTATGCCTATCTTTGAGCCGTTTTAACGAGCATTGCCACACCCTTGGGCATTGGGCAATTTCTGGCATTGAAACACTCATCTTCCGATAACAGTAGTCAAATTTGCTTTTGACATTTTCCTGACTGAATGTCAGTATGGATGGTTGTTTGATAATGATCTTGTGCAGTTGATTTTGGTAAAAGCCAATGGTATTTCGTAGGAAATGTACTTTTTCCTCAATCGATGCGGATGTGCATGTTGAAACAAGCGCTGGGCATTTTGTGACGATCTTCAGGACATCTTTCACAGAAAATGAAGGATGGACTTCAAGGTTGTACAAAACCTCAAGCTATTAAAAGAAAGATCATTTTTGAGAGTGAAATCAATGGGCAATAAATGGCAATAGACTCATTTCTGTGGGCTGCACAGCTGTGTTTAAGAAACCCTGGGTGAGAGGTTAATTTTCAGTATACCACAACCTGCCTGTATCAGAACCCATCTCCCCTACTGATCTTAAAACAGAACTGGACTAGTGAATTGCTTGCCTTATCTTCCAAATTGTCTTCAATCTTTGATGTTAATATTCCAGGTGCCTTCTTCAACATGGTAGCAATAGCCTGTTCTTTCAAACCAACCTTTCTCAATGACCAGACGCAATGCTCTATTTGCTGTTCGTTAAGTAGCAAAATCCGAGGCCGCCTGGAAATCATCCGACCAACGTCTGATGCATCCAGCCCACAAAGCTCCCCCAGAAAATCCACATTTGACCTAACTCTTCCATTCAAGTCTTCCAAAGGCAACCTAATTTCTTTCTTAATTTTCTCTATTTTTGCTCCAATGCTAGTCAAATACATCTCAGCTGGTTTGATACCAGCCAATTTTGCTCTGTCGACTGCTTTCGAACCTTTCAATGCTTTGTCTCTTTCTGACCAAGATTGCGTTATGCAAAATGATCTCTTTTGTACCTTGGCAATGGTGCACATGGACGGATGGAATATTTTTTGCAACATATTGTATCTTTGTAAACATTTCATAGTTTGTGGACGTTTGGTCAATGAAACTTCAATATATGCACCAAAATAAGAAAATTTCTAAACGTTTCTACAACTCTTTATAATTTAGTGAACGTACACATTTGTACAGTGTTGATAAAATTAGTCCCTTTAAATGAGATTCGCTTTAGTTTTGCAAAATAAAGTAATAGGTGCAAAGCAATATGTGCCCGCGATCTATGTTTCCACATTAAAGCTTTAGCCGCTTATTAAAAACTGCAGAAGATTGTAAAATATGTTTCAAATTTAAAAATATATATAAATAAAACTAGTGCTACGCTCTACAGTATGCGGGTTTTTTAAAGTCATAGACCATTATTTTTGTGAAATTTGCAAGATGAACGATTGAAACAAGAGGAATATTTGTGAAGATGAGATGAAATAGAAAACTTTCCTTTGTAAATATGGAAACACGCATCCTTAGCAACCGTTTATCGTTAGTGGTTGCTAGGGGATTATGTAAACATGTCGGAGTACTTTTGATTTGAAAAATAATCCCAAAAATGATCGCTTTTTGTCAAAATCGAGGACGTACACTAATGCTTGGCGCTGTGTAGAATGGCAGAAAATGAATACGAAGGGGAAACGAGCGATGTAGACGAGAGTGAACAGCGAGACGATAGCGAAATCGATGGAGAAGCCGCTGAAGAGGCGAGCAAGGAATGTCCCGAACAAGTGATCAGTCGAAAACCATCCAAGAAATCAAAGGTGAAAAAACGTCGTAAAAGGTACCGTCGTCTCTCTTTTTGTTCAACGTATGAATGCGTACATCCTAATTTATCAAACGTGCTATTTGTTTGCTAAAATGTTTGTCGATTTGATTGAATTTACTTGCAAAAATTATGTTGTTTTAATAATGAAATATGTATTAATAGTAATGTGATTTATGCTGTTGTATTTTTGCAATTGTAGATGGCTTGGCATAAATCTATCGAATTGTAAATATGATAGCGGTAAGAGATTGTGAGGATTAAGCATTTGATTCATAGTTATGAAATATTATGACTCACTGACGGTGTTTTCACCTTATTTCATATTTTGAGTATTCGCATATCTGGTTTAATACGATCAAGGAGGTTATATAACACGCACTTGACAAGCGAGCTTCGTAGCTAAGACTCTAAACTTTGTTTAGTTCAAAAGAAAACGTAGTTAATTTGTTGTAAATTGTATAAACGAACACATCACTTTAATCCAAATTTCATGTGTTTGTTAATGAATTAAGGTACAATTGTTATAACTTCCTGCAAGCTTGAGTTTTAATTAACTTGATTCCCGTTGAATGAGTCTTTAAATTTTGTTTAAACGTTAGTTCGTCGGGTGGGAAAACGTTTTGGGATGAAAGAAGTGGGCGAAGATGAGGATTGGTCGTTGTTTTGGACGGATTATTCTGTTGCATTGGAAAGATGTATGGATATGAAAAGATATCAGGTATGCTAGGGAAATCATTGTGAAGTTTTTTTACTGTTTTAGAAGTATGCCAGTATGATAGAACTTTACCGAATACAGGCTTTGGCCTTTGGTAAAATCTCTGGGTACTGTCGTTTTGATATTTTTCACTCATTTTCAATGTTATTTATATATTGCTTTTCAGAAAATAAATCATTTTCCCGGGATGATAGAAATTTGCAGGAAAGATTTGCTTGCGAGAAACATGAACAGATTATTAAAACTGTATCCAAAAGAGTACCAAGTCTTTCCAAAAACCTGGGTTCTGCCAGCTGAGTAAGCAAAGTTCACTTTATTTATAGTTTGACCATGTTTCTTGTTCAAAATTAGGCTGTGTAGATGTCTTGTTTACTCACAGATATACTCTGTCAAGTCTGTGAGTTTTGCTTTGAAGTATTTTGTCTGTTTTTTTATTTTAGCTACAGCGATTTCCAAGCGTTTTGCCGCCAAAAGAAGAACAAATCTTTCATTTGTAAACCGGAGAGTGGTTCGCAAGGGAAAGGAATTTTTGTCACTAAAAACCCAAAGGTATACAAAGGGAATATTTTTCACTGCAACTACAAAAGCTATCTGCTACATCTGAGAGCTTAAATACTATGGTAGTTTCTGTCATCCAGAGCTAGTGCATGTAATTCTTTGTAAGCAAATGTACAAATGTACAATGATTGGTTACACATACATTGTTAAAGGTGTCCATTTTCACACAGAGCAGCATTCCATATGGTTTTAATGCAAGGATGACAAGCTTACATCTTGATATACCAAAGCCAAATTGCACTAGGAATCCTAGATCTGAAAGTTTTCATCTTTGTATTTTGCCAGGACATAAAACCAGGCGAACACATGATCTGCCAGCAATATCTCGCAAAACCATTTCTCATCGACGGCTTCAAATTTGACCTGAGGATATACATCATGATCTCGTCCTGTGATCCTCTGAGGATATTTGTGTACAAAGATGGATTGGCGAGGTTCGCAACAGTACAGTACAGCGAGCCCTCCAATAGCAACATGGTAAGTGGGCGCGATTTAGAACGTTTGCATGAGGCTGGATCCACTTAAATTATATGCCCTTTTTCTAGATTTTGTCTTTCTTACATTACCTACTATAAAACTCAAGATGTAAGTGTGTAGATTATTAATGCATCTTTGATTGTAGCTGGGATTGTTTTCGTTTTTCAGGAAGACATGTGTATGCATCTCACAAACTATGCCATCAATAAACACAGCAAAGATTTCGACAGAGATGAAGAAAGTGGTAGCAAAAGGTGAAGTCATAATCAACCGTTTTTTCTGTAGGAAAGCATGATTTTGAGGTATTGAAATAAGTCTTCGTGAAGCAAAACAAGCTCATGCTATTGTCCAGATGACTGCAGCACTGCCCGGAATAATGTTCTTCACTTATTTCAATACCTCAAAGAGTCAAAGTCACTTCGCAGTCCGTCTAATCTCGGGAAAGTGGAATCACTTCAACAGCATTGTAACTCGTGCTCGCTAACTCTTACAGACGTATTACAACAGTCGACACGTGGTTTAGAAATCATGGATACGATATTGACAAGATTTGGGCCGATATTGAGGTACGCAAATTGCTCCAGAAGATCATTCAATACTCTCCTTTTGTAGCTAATTTGAAAGCTTTCTTGCAGGACGTGATGATCAAGACGTTGATCAGCGCCCATCCAATACTGAAACACAACTATCGAACGTGTTTTCCTAACCACAACAAAGGCAGCGCATGTTTTGAAATACTTGGTTTTGATATACTCCTCGATCGAAAACTCAAACCTTGGGTGTTGGAGGTGAGTCAGGATTACGTTATCGATATTTTAACTACAAGACGAGGCACTGGTTATAGTTAAAGTATAGCATAACAGTCAGCACTCTGTCGGACTAGCAGTACTGCAATTATCAACTGACATTGAGGAAGGTTGAAAGAGAAACACTGAATAAAACATTGCAAAGCAGTAAGTACTAGATTGGTCCGGGCTAGTATTAGTAGCAACAGTCAGCACTCAGTCAGACTAACAGTACTGCAGTGATCAACTGACATTGAGGAAGGTTAAAAGAGAAACACTGAATAAAACATTGCAAAGCAGTAAGTACTAGATTGGTCCGGGCTAGTATTAGTAGCAACAGTCAGCACTCTGTCAGACTAGCAGTACTGCAATGATCAACTGACATTGAGGAAGGTTGAAAGAGAAACACTGAATAAAACATTGCAAAGCAGTAAGTACTAGACAAGTCCTGGCTAGTATTAGTAGCAACAGTCAGCACTCTGTCAGACTAGCAGTACTGCAATGATCAACTGACATTGAGGAAGGTTGAAAGAAAACACTGAATAAAACATTGCAAGCAGTAAGTACTAGACAAGTCCTGGCTAGTATTAGTAGCAACAGTCAGCACTCTGTCAGACTAGCAGTACTGCAATGATCAACTGACATTGAGGAAGGTTGAAAGAGAAACACTGAATAAAACATTGCAAAGCAGTAAGTACTAGACAAGTCCTGGCTAGTATTAGTAGCAACAGTCAACACTCAGTCAGACTAGCAGTACTGCAATGAACAACTGACATTGAGGAAGGTTGAAAGAGAAACACTGAATAAAACATTGCAAAGCAGTAAGTACTAGATTGGTCAGGCTAGTATTAGTAACAACAGACTAACAGTATTGCAATGATCAACTGACATTGAGGAAGGTTGAAAGTGAAACACTGAATAAAACATTGCAAAGCAGTACAGTTAAGTACTGACTTAGTCAGGCTAGTATTAGATATAGCAAACAGTCAACACTCATGCAATGTTATCAGCAGCATATATTTTGTAGTGAGCAACTTGAAAATACAGTTTATTGTCTTAACGTGAATCAGGTCAATCACTCGCCAAGTTTTCACACGGATTCAAAACTGGACAAGGAGGTGAAAGAAGGCTTGATTTACGATACCCTCAACCTGGTGAACTTTAACGCTTGCGATAAGAAAAAGTGTCTCGAAGAAGACAGAAAGAAAGTTCAAGAGCGACTCTTGAATAAGCAAAAACAGCCGAAAGACGTAAAGTAAGTGGGTTGTTGTTTACACCACCAGGCAAGCGTGTTCGCATACGAAATTTTCAATATCGTGTCGTTTTGCAGACGGGAGGACAACTTTGACAATCTCAACCAACAGATGGATTTGTTGACCAGATACGAAGACACACATCTTGGTGGCTTTAGGTAAGTTTTTTTTTTTTTTTAATTTTCAAGAGTGTATTTGGATTTTGGTTTATTTCTGCTCAAAGAACGACGTTTTCTCGTCATTTTTAGACGCGTTTATCCCAATGGCAATGAAGAAAAGTACGAGAAATATTTCGAGAATAGTGGCTCTCTTTTCCAAGAAACGACAGCGTCTAAAGCCAGGACAGAGTGTTCAAGGTTGGGTTACAATAATTGAACAGTTTAATGTAATCGACTATGTTATTGATTATAAGTTGATTGTTTGATTGATCAAGTGGTTAGGTAATCAATCATTGATTGATTGATTGATTGATTGATTGATTGATTGATTGATTGATTGATTGATTGATTGATTGATTGATTGATTGATGATTTTTGATTTTGATTGATTGATTATCAATCGATTGAATTGTTTTGTTACCAATTATTTGACTATTGAGATCATTGATTGATTGTCTGGGTAATTCATCGACTATGTAGTCGATTGATTGACTTGGTTCTCGTATTCTGTGAAATAATCTGTTTGGTAAATAAAATATTTCCAGGATCCAACGAGAATTAATACTGGCGAAGAAACAAGAGATCGAAGTGATGCGTGCGAAGAACTCTGGTCGTAAACTGCTCCAACGTGATGGTTTGAGGCCGGAGAGCGCGGCGACAATCAAGAAAACAAAACGAATGACTGGAAAGAAAATAGCGTGTAAACACGAGGTAACTTTTGAACAAAATACAGAGTTTTATAGTGGTTCCTGTGCATGTGTTTTTCTGCTCATAACGATGGCAGATGTACTTTAGCAATTGTTAAAATCTTCCGTGTTGCGAATCTTTGATGTCATTATCTCTAGTTCATATTTATTTAAAAGCATATCAAACTTATGTTAGCGGATATGCAAGATATAGTAGCTGAAAATGTCACGAACCTTGCGTATAAGTAATATTGTTCTTTGCTAAAACGATAAACAAAATTAAACAGCAGTTAATGTTTACAGGTCAGTGGTCCAAACACTGCTATAACTCTCTTCTTCTTTCAGCCAATCGAATGGCAGGCAAATGGCGTGGACACGGGGAAGCCTATTGATATCACCGAGGAAGAGGAACTTGAGAGGATAACGGGGATGTTACAGAGGGATAACTTAGTGCGTGGCTTGGGCATTGTTGAAGAGGTCTATAAGTTACTTCATTGTACGCCAGGCACAGGTGGCCCAAAGAAGGATTGCGTTCATCATTCGGTGAGTACGTAACACTGATCTCTATAGAAAAGTGTGAAAGGATGATTAGGCCTGGAACTAGCTAGCGAAGGAAGAGTGTTGTTTTAAATGTGGAATTCAACTTTCTTTTAGCATCAATCCAAGGACAGTTCTCAGAGCAAGGTCAAGACCCAGGAGTCGGATGATCGTCGATATCACTCTATCCAAAACAACATTATATCCAATCCAGGCTCGGTGGTGTCCAGTTATTTAGCGTCCAGCAGCATCGGGCGGCTTTACCCGCACGCCTTCCCGCAGCACACGGGACTATCACGTGCTGAGTACAGACGAACATTCGCCACAATAGGTCATAATGACTCCAGTGGTCACCTTTCGCCCGGCACGCACCAAAGTAACAATGGCAACAAGCATCGTTACGGAACGCGCAAGATTCTAACCAATAGGAACGCGTATTACGCTTCCGACAACGATACGAGGTTCTCCGATTGCGATGCGACATCTCTCGAGTCGCATTACAATCCGCACTTACGACGGACGTTGAGCGCGAACGGTCTCGCTTGTAAGTTGCAAGCGAATTCTGGGAAGATTCGAACCGGAAACACGTCATCGATTGTTCCACCTGGAGTCATTTCACTTCAGAATACATCAAGTCACGGAGTGAAGGTGACCGCACACAAGTCGCCTCTCGGGCTCAGTGTGATTTCAGGACCCGCACCAATCTCATACAAGAGCCTCGCAAAGAGTGGGGGACACTCGGGAAATCTTGGAAGGTTAGGGATAATAAAGAATTCCTTTGAGAACTTAGCGATCTGGACTAGTGAAATTGAGCGGTGAAATGAGAGCTTTCGGCATTAAAAACTATTTTTAATTTTTTTTTGGTTGTCTAGGACTGGTAAATTGGGTCAACGTATTAGATCCACATCCAGTGACCCTTCTTGCAAGGTCAGTGTTAATCGTTATTTATTATAATACCGTAGGATGAATGTTCTCAGTTGCCTGATCTTCTCAGTCAAATATGATGATCTGAGAATATGACAATCTATGATGATTATAAAATTGTCTTTTATTAATCACCGATCATGAAAGTGTTATCAATATCCTTAATTACCAGTAATTGTCATCATGGATAATCATCAATCATTGATCATCGAAGTATAACTATATTCTGATTGGCTTTTCACTTCCTTTTTTTAGCATCTTGAAGTAAGGGACAATCACACGGCCGTAGTATTGAGCTAGCACTCCAGGCAAGTCGTTGCACTAGAGATCAGCAGTTTAAAACATAGTTTTCTAAGAAAGATATCTAGATTTCTATACCCAAGTAAGGTTAGTTCTATGAACCTAATAACCTAAATTATATTTTTACCAACACAAGAAAACAAATTATATATAAGCATATTTTATGATATATATTTTATATGATTGTAAATATCAATAAAATCATCGAAATGACATCGTAAACAAATAGCTGATCGTGTTCCCTTCGCTTGTATTCGCCACCGACTTGGAGATGGACCAATGAGCGACGTGTTGAATAACGAATCACGATTGCACTAGCTAATAGGATCAGCGAAAATATCGCCAAGCCAATCATATCCATAGGCATTAAACGAGTAACTTCCAAGTGGAACCGCCAAATATCACGACAGCCTACCAGTGGTCATTTCAACGCGCTTGCCCGTCATGTTCTCAAGTATTAAGCGTGTTTTCCACTTCAACTGTATCGTACGTAGCGAAACATTTTAAAGTCATTAGTTCTATCTGAGCGCCCAGAAAAGAATGATATATGCCAGGTGTCCCTACGGTACGGTTCATCTAAGGTGTAAAACAAAATTACAACCAGATCATTTTACTATCGGGATCATCATAATGTGTTTTTAGCTTAGTGCCACAGTGAGAAAAGCATTAGAAATATATTTTTCCAAGACTGTTAGCAACTACCTTCTCTATATCGATTTTTTGGCCGATTCAAAACTGTAAATTCTGTTAGACTAGGTCAATCTTTTCAGCTAAAACACACCAGAACGTTTTCGCTCAGCCTCAGTGGTCTGGATAAGTACTGTACCATTCCATCGTTCAGTCTCAGTGGTCTGAAGTAAATGGTACTTTCTGGTCTGAGGTAAATGGTACGTTATTTGTAATACAGTCAACTTCAAACGTTGTGGAAGAGGCAGTATTGCCAGTAGGCAGTACGCTAATTGTAGCAGATTAACGTCTGGATTAATACCGAAATGCAAATAGACGACCAAAATAACCATAGTTGTCAAAACAAGGTCATTAAAGTTACCGCTATATTCTATTGACCATTTCTACCGCATAAAGGAAGCAAACGATGGATTATCTCAATCAGCCCCGGACGAGGTAAGTTCAAGAAAATTAGCAATTGAGAAGAACGACGTTTGACAAAGTGTATTGTCCGTTGGAATGTTCTTTGAGGTGTAAAAGGTGGTGGATTTCGAGAAGAAACTCATGAGGTCATCTCATTATCTATTGTTTAAATTGCATTCGACGCGACCAAAATGCGACGGATAAACTAGGCCTCAGACAGTCCACAGTTGACAGTCAGATTTGGTTTTTCGAAGAAGGAAGAATCACTTGAAGACGTTGAGGAAAATGTTGGGAAAAACTTGCTCAGGTACGGGGTAGTGGTTTAAAGAATATGTTTGCTTGATCTTTGCAAATTAATTGATCGCTCTGTTGATTTCATAGCCACAAGTCATTAGCGACTGGAGGCATATTCTTGCTGATTTTCACTGCTACATCTTGGATATTTCGATTGAAAATGTGAAATACAAGTGAGCTGTTAACTTGATTTTGTTTTTCCTTGCTTATTTCATTTCAGAAGGAACTACGGCGCCGAAAGATGGGGAAGGCGAAACACAAACGCTTGCTCGCAGCAAATAATAGGTATTGTTTTATTATAATATAAGTGTATTTTGCATTTGTGACTTGAAATAACACGTTTGCACACGATGGGCGAAACAAAAATATAGTTTAATCGAACTTTTCGGGACTTTATCGTAAATCTTCCTCAACAAATGGTTGAAACTTTCCCGTCTGGTCGTATCGTGAATACTAGTCCCCCGGCGCTTCATGTTAATTTTGTACAGGAAAAGACGAGTTCAAACTGATTGCCTAAATTATTCATATTGATTCGTGCTGAGTTATTTCAGCCTGTTTGGCCATTGTAGTTCAATGTTCAGAGCTTGTTTTCAACATCCAAAGTAACTTAGCGTGCTGTAGTGGTTCCTTTTCTTGATTGCTTCCTATATCAGTTAGTTTTACTACAAAACAAGTAATATTCTCGTGAATTCACCGAGCTCTTCGTTTTTTAGAACTAAAAGAATCGTCGGAGTGGAGAGATGTCGGAGCTGCCTTGGGACATTTTGCACGCAAATACAAAACTCAATTTCGGCGAAAATATGCATGAGTAAAATATGCATGGATTTGGCCTTTTTTTGGCTGAGATATACTGAACACTCTTCTGTTTACCTCCTTGATTTTCAACTTTTCGGATTGCGGTTTTTGTGCATGGGTCAGGTCGTGTCAAGCGCATGCGGAGTAAATACAAGTGATCTGGGGCCCCATCATTCGTATTTTCTCCATCTTGAACGACAATAGTCCGGAAAAAAAATATCGCTCACAGAGCGCCTAAAACATAAAAAATGCATGAGACATTGTATTTCCAGAAGGAGATAATAGTCGAGTGTTTTGGTTTTCTTAGGACCATGAAGAAAATGATGAATATTTCGTACAAAACGTGCATGACGACATTTTGTATTTGCGTGCGCAATGCGAAGGCCTTGGACGAGTGGCGTTGGAGATGTGGAAGGTCTATATATAATCTGGTTTTCAGTGATTATTTTATTCAGGAGGAAGTGATATTTCTCTTTTAGAAATTTATGATATCATTTTTTGTGTCTATGTTAAGAAGTCAGATGATGAAGGATCGTCGCAGGATCAGATGATGAAGGATCATCGCAGGATCAGATGATGAAGGATCGTCGCAGGATCAGATGATGAAGGATCGTCGCAGGATCAGATGATGAAGGATCGTCGCAGGATCAGATGATGAAGGATCGTCGCAGGATCAGATGATGGACGACGAGACGGGTGTACAAGCAGAAGCTGGTTGAGGTACATACTATACTGATTAAAGTATACTGATTAGAGTAATGCATGATTATTGCATATGCATGTTTTATTCTCGGATTGATTCCTCCTGGTGGTCTAACCTAGTATATTCACACAGCAAGTGACACTTCACCCTTTTCGACAATGCATGGATAACAGAAAATTTCTCACAGCTCTTATGAGAGCGTTTTCGAGGTTTCTCGATGAAACATTCCTAGTTTTGTCACTTGCGTGTGAATTTGACTTACGGTGGTCTTATATAAAAAAAACGTTTTTCTTTTCAAAAAATATGAAAATCTTTTGGTGCAATAGTACTAGCAAAAAAAGAATATTGTGAGTCTTTTATCAGCATAGTTACTAAGACCAGACACATGCAATAAGGGAATATGGCTATTTTTTTTGAGAACATGATATCTCACAAAATATTGATGGCAAAAACATGAAATTGCCTTAAATATCTTTGCTTAGGATGTGAACTGGAACTATTAAAATTGATGCAAGTTTGGCAAGGCATGAAAAATAACACAGCAATTACCTATCCGACATTCACTATTTTACTGAGTTATCTTGCTCGAGAGTTGAAGAACTGGGATTTTTCGTTTGTTCAGAAAAACGATATGAAGTCTTTGCATATATTCAAACAAAACAATAAACCAATAAGTCAATGAATAAGTTTTCTTTGCTCGGGGTAAAACCCCATTAAAAATATAACAATTAGGTGAATTTTTGAAAGTGAACTATCAACTGGTTAAGAAGTATTTAGGGATTGCTTTCTGGCTAAAATCATTTAAAAAGTGATCAAATGTTTCTATATTTTGTATAAGACCACCTTAATTGCTGCGGAAATGCATGATGGCTTTAAAGCGTTGAAATAAGAGTAGTAAAATGCAATAAGCATGCGCGACGCGACGCGCGTGCAGCAAAAGAAATATCAAATTCGTATTGGCCTAATTTTAGATTAATACGAAGATAATCGCGAGTACTTATATGATCATATAAGTTCTCTGTTCAGCCTGTAATAATGCGACCGCTTCGAAGGACCGTCCGTCAATGGCATCAAAAATTATACTTCAGTCTTTGAACATTTAAATTTGAATTATTGATGTTTGAAATGAAGAAAAAAATGACTATTTGATGTTTAGACACTAACACTCTTCTGTTTCCCTTGTTTGTGATACATTTTGCAATCGAATTGCAGTTTAAGATGAAATAAACGTAACAAAATCATTTTCATTAATTTTTACTAACTTTTGTATAAAGAGGAAAATACACCTCGTATATTACATGATATATTACATTACAACTGTGTATCTGGACTCGTGTACCTTACATGCATGGGGTATCTGGGGATATACATATCTGTTGATATGGGGTATCTGGGTAACTGGACTGGTGTACCTTACATGCATGGGGTATCTAGGGATATGGAGTATCTGGGTAACTGGACTCGTGTGCATTACATGCACGGGGTATCTGGGGATATACATATCTGGGGATATGGGGTATCTGGGTAACTGGACTGGTGTACCTTACATGCATGGGGTATCTAGGGATATGGGGTATCTGGGTAACTGGACTCGTGTACATTACATGCACGGGGTATCTGGGGATATAATGTTAAACTTCTGGGGTAAATACAATGCAATTTCATTACATGAAAATCTAACCTAGCTTTAAAGAAAACCCCTTGCATATTTTGACACACTTACTATGTTTTTTAATTCCTTTCACGCTCCACCGTCGAGATGTTTTTAAAGAAGAGCGTCGGAAAGAAGCAAGTGAAATTTGGTGCACTGTTTAGTCTTTTTACCAAAGGTAATTATAATTTATAAGGTATGGTAAGGGACATTATTGATTCTTGTAATTTACCAGTTGTTACGGGTAGCAATATTGATTATGTTGCATGTTAGCCCGATTACGTTTATTTCCTCTATTTTCGTTTAACCGAAATCCACAACGTAAAGAAATAAAATAATACAAAAGTACATGAGGTGCATGTCTTAAGAAAGGGTAGCAGAAGAGTGTTGTCTACATCGGTTTGAGATGAAAAAGCATGCAAGTCGTGAATAAACGAAGCATTTCTTTATCATAAAATGAACATTCGAAGAATTGAAATAATTTTTGTTGCCATTGTCGGACAAAGCGCTGTTTTGCAGCGGACGATATCCGCGCTACGCACGGTTAGACCACCAGCAGGATAGAGTTAACACAGCTCAAGAATTGCGTGGCAATTCTTGGGATTTTCTTCGGATGAGCGGAATAAACTATATAGATAAAATGCCATGTATACTTGTCTCCATAGCGGACGATTTCTAATGAAAATACCAAATTCGGATCGCCGGTCAGGTTACCTGAAATTCAGGTTACCTTTGGAGGGTTTTTCACCGGGCACTCCGGTTTCCCTCCTTTTCGTTTGGCTTTAAAAAACAGTGTCCATGTCTGGGGCCAAACCAAAACGTGTTTTCTGATAGTAAAAAAATTTCTTGTACGTTTTACAAAAGTCGAGAAAAGCTATTTTTACATGAACGAGTATGTTTGGCTTCTGGGTTCAATTCCCAGAACACTGACGTGAAAAACAATAAAATATCAGGAGACAAGTATGGAATGATTACGTAATTACATCTGTTCGGAAATTTCCGTGAAGTGGTCGGTTCGGGTCGGTTAGATAAAAAAGATTCAATCACTGAGTGGATTCAATATAAAAAGCAGTAATTTGGTAATGATTTCATGTTCAGTAAATCCTAAATACATGAATTTAATCTATGAGATTAAGGATTGAAGTTAATTTAGGAAGGATTATGGTTAACCCTAATTAATGCTAAATCTCATCTAGAACCTTGTCCTAAACCTAATCCTAAACTAATCCGTAGAAATTAAGCGGATTTACTAAACTGGATTCACTAAACATGGAATTATTATTTTATGTATGCTCCCGAGGAGAATAGTGAGTTTTTATGACAATATGCTGGCAACAATTTTTCACTTGTTTCACTGGCGGGAAACATTACATTTATTTAAACGAATGAAACGAATGAACCAATCACATTTTAAATAAACAGCACCTATATAACAATACGATCTATTGTAGCATCTCCATATATGGGGGATATTTGCCCATTCGCCATTTCACCCCATTTGGCATTTTCACGTCTGGTCATACTGTGTCCCCGTCACCTCGTGCGCGGCACCATTTATCTGCTGTATTTTTTGGTCTCTTATGAGTTTTTAGTTTAATATTATAGGCGCTTTTAACGCGTTTTAAGGTTTGAACGCAATGAACGGCCTTACGGTTGAGGAGAGAAAGGCATTAGGAAGAAAATATTTAGAAACTGTCGTGGAAGACGTGCAAAAGACGCGAGAAGGAATCAAGGCTTACATACACAAGACTGCTTTGTACAAATCCTTGTGGTTGAGCGATGAGACTATGGGAAATAATGTATACCTGAAAATGGGTAAGGTTTTTGTATATTTTCAGTTTTGCCTGGATAATTGAGAGGGAGGGATATATGTTCTGCATTATCAATTTATAATGGTAATTGCACTTAATTTGTGATTGTCAAATCTTCCGCTTCACGGTCGTGCGATTTTGTAATCACGCGTTTGATTTCACATCAAAATTGCACGACACGAAGTGCAATTTATTTTTGTCAAAAATTTGATTGGATAGTTACACTGAAATACTAAATCTAATTGGTTATTGTGGTGCAGGGCTTCAATCTTATTGGCTTATAAATGATGTAATTAATTCTCAAAAATAGTGTGATTTGGGGATTAATCACACTATTTTTAACCAATCAGATTGCAAGAAACACCATTGATTTCAAAATGAATATAATAAGTTTTGAAATCTATTGTCTTTACAGTTACTTAAAATGAAGACATGAATATTGCCCCCCCCCCCCAATTATCAATGCTAGCTACGTCACTGTTCGGTGAGTTATGGTGAGTTATGTATATTTTTTATTGTTTAAAGAAAGTGAACAGGTAACTGGCTCGTTCAAAGCAAGAGGTGCATTTAACAAGATCAGAATCGTCAAACTGAACAACAAAACCTTACCAGAAGAAAAACAGTACAGCATTACTACTGCATCATCCGGTAACCATGGACTGGCTTGTGTAAGTAATTAGTAATATCATTTAGGTTGTCTATGATACCTATATTAGAGAGCTGGTTGTATTAGAGATGTCTGTATTAGAAAGATGTCTGTTTTAGAGAGATGTCTGTATTAGAGAGAGATGTCCATATTAGAGAGATGTCTGTGTTAGAAAGATGTCTGTATTAGAGAGATGTCTGTATTAGGGAGATGTCTGTATTAGGGAGATGTCTGTATTAGAGAGATGTCTGTATTAGAGAGAGATGTCTGTATTAGAGAGATGTCTGTATTAGAGAGATTTCTGAATTAGAGAGAGATGTCCGTATTAGAGAGATGTCTGTATTAGAGAGATGTCTGTGTTAGAGAGATGTTTCATAATGTACTCCCATCTTATTTTTATCACTTAGGCACTTGCAATGAGAACGCTTGGTGTACAAGGAAAGATATTTGTACCTGAATGTGCAAGTGAAGCCAAGATGGAAGCAATAAAAAAATATGGCGGCAATTTGGAAATGTTTGGTGATGATTGTATAAAGGCTGAGGGCCGTGCTAAACAGATTGCACAAGAAAGTGGTCACATGGTCTACATATCTCCTTATAACGACATTCAAGTTGTTCATGGTCAAGCCACAATAGGGTTGAGTATCAATAATTTTAGGTTGATTTGGCCATTTTTTCCATCTGCCATCATAACTTAATGTTTTGTGTGTTAGATTAGAAATTCTTGAAGATTTACCTGCTGTGGATTCAGTTTTTATTTCTGTCGGAGGAGGAGGACTCATTTCTGGCATTTCAACTTACATGAAAGCCATTAAGCCTTCTGTTAAGGTACATCTTACTACACTGTTGTTGGACTTCCTTGCTCTTTCAAATGTCTCAAATCTATTGCATTGCATGCTATTATATAGTTTTAGACTGTTTTTATTTCTGTTTTAGATAATTGGCTGCCAACCCATAAATTCTTGTGTCATGTATGAATCCTACAAAGCAAGAAAAATCCTTGATATTCCATCTCTGGCTACTTTGTCGGATGGTACATCCGGGGGTGTTGACCCTGAAGCTGTAAGTTGTTTATTATACAACATATTGGCCTTGCTTTGGGCATGTAAAATTATCTAAATCTCTTTGCATCTGTTTCCTAGTTCACGTTTGATTTGTGTTGCGAATTTGTTGATAAATGGGTTTTGGTGTCCGAAGATGAAATCTCCGAGGCTATGCTTTTCATGTTACAGAAAGAACACAAGGTGATTGCTACAGTTTATAATGATGTAAGATTCTGATATATGCTTGCATGGGAAGTCGAATGCATGTGAGAATAAGTGTGATTTAATTCAATTCCCATCTACCAAGCTGCTAAAGTGATTTACAACATTTAACCTGTTAAAGAATTGGAAGAACTACAGAGTAATTGAATTCCTTCAACTATTTATTGTGTTGCAGTTGGTTGAGGGTGCTGCTGCTGTGTGTGTTGCCGCTTATAAAAAGGAGAAAGAAAATCACAGAGGGGAGAATATTGTACTATTGATGTGTGGGGGAAATGTTGGACTTGATGTTGTTAAGAATATTATTGAGACAAACAGCTTCAAAGACAGTAAAATAGCTATCTAAGAAAAATATCTGGAATCCAATACTTTTTTCTACAATGGTATTGCCAACAGTAAGGGGGGACTTATAAATCATGCTGTATTTAAACTTTCAACTTAGAAGGATTTAGTTGACGTGAAAGTAATAATTTGGTGATAATTTCATGTTCAGTCATAGAATTAAATTCGTGTATTTAGGATTTACTAAATTGGATTCACTAAGCATGGCATATTACGATTTAGTGTAGCATGTCCATATTTGGGCGATATTCGCCATTTTCACGTCTCCTTGAACTCTGTTCACGTGCCTACCACGGATCAGATCAGTAGGCTAGTGCCTGCAGACTGAGCGCCAGCAATTTGATTTGAATTGAATTGATTTTTGATCTGTGATTTGTCTGTATTTTTTCGTCTCTGATGAGTTTTTTAGTTTATTATAGACGCTTTTAACGCATTTTGAATGCAATGAACGGCCTCACGGTTGAGGAGAGAAAGGCCTTAGGAAGAAAATATTTAGAAACTGTCGTGGAAGATGTGCAAAAGACGCGAGAAAGAATCAAGCCTTACATACACAAGACTGCTTTGTACAAATCATTGTGGTTGAGTGATGAGACTATAGGAAGTAATGTATACCTGAAAATGGGTAAGGTTTTTTGTTTATTTTGAGTTTGGCTTGATCACTGATCATAGTCTCATAGATATGTACGATCAAATGTATTTCTTGTGATGTGTTTAAAGAAAGTGAACAGGTAACTGGCTCGCTAAAACCAAGAGGTGCGTTCAACAAGATCAGTATCGTCAAACGGAACAACGAATCCTTACCAGAAGAAAAACAGTACAGCGTTACTACTGCATCATCCGGTAACCATGGACTGGCTTGTGTAAGTATTAGTAATATTTATCAGAGACGTGTCTATGTTAGAGAGGTGCCATATTGATTATTGGGGAGGTCTGGAGGTGTTTGTATTATAGATAGGTGTCTGTATTAAAGAGAAATGTCTGTATTGGAAAGGTGTCTGTATTAGAGAGGGGTTTGTATTAGAGAGAGGTGTCTGTATAAAAGAGATGTCTGTATTAGAGAGAGGTGTCTGTATTAAAGAGATGTCTGTTTGAGAGAGAGGTGTATGTATTAGAGAGTGTCCATATTAGAGAGATAGCATGTGTTTTAGAGAGATGTCTGTATTAGAGAGAGATGTCTGTATTAGAGAGAGATGTCTGTATTAGAGAGAGAGATGTCTGTATTAGAGAGAGATGTCTGTATTAGAGAGAGATGTCTGTATTAGAGAGAGATGTCTGTATTAGAGAGAGAGATGTCTGTATTAGAGAGAGATGTCTGTATTAGAGAGAGATGTCTGTATTAGAGAGAGATGTCTGTATTAGAGAGAGATGTCTGTATTAGAGAGAGATGTCTGTATTAGAGAGAGATGTCTATATTAGAGAGAGATGTCTGTATTAGAGAGAGGTGTCTGTATTAGAGAGAGATGTCTCTATTAGAGAGAGATGTCTCTATTAGAGAGAGATGTCTGTATCATAGAAATTTTTCCATTAGAAATGTGACTATGTGTTTATTAAAGGGAAGTCTGTAGTTTTTTATAATCATTCCAGGCACTTGCAATGAGAACGCTTGGTGTACAAGGAAAGATATTTGTACCTGAATGTGCAAGTAAAGCCAAGAAGGAAGCAATAAAAAAATATGGTGGCAATTTGGAAATGTTTGGTGATGATTGTGTGAAGGCTGAGGGCCGTGCTAAACAGATTGCACAAGAAAGTGGTCACATGGTCTACATCTCTCCTTATAACGACATTCAAGTTGTTCATGGTCAAGCCACAATAGGGTTGAGTATCAATAATTTTAGGTTGATTTGGCCATTTTTTCCATCTGCCATCATAACTTAATGTTTTGTGTGCTAGGTTAGAAATTCTTGAAGATTTACCTGCGGTGGATTCAGTTTTTATTTCTGTCGGAGGAGGAGGACTCATTTCTGGCATTTCAACTTATATGAAGGCTATTAAACCTTCTGTTAAGGTATGCCTTATCACACTGTTGTTGGAGACCCTTGCTCTTTCAAATGTTTCAAATGTATTGCATTGCATGCTATTATATAGCTTTAGACTGTTTTTATTTCTGTTTTAGATTATTGGTTGCCAACCCATAAATTCTTGTGTCATGTACGAATCCTACAAAGCAAGAAAAATCCTCGATATTCCATCTCTAGCTACTTTGTCTGATGGTACGTTCGGGGGTGTTGACCCTGATGCTGTAAGTTGTTTATTATACAACATATTGACCTTCAATTTATGTTGAAATTATCTGACATGTGAAATTGTCTGAAGAGTACATCATGTAGTGGTTTTCTCTTTGCATCTGTTTAATAGTTCGCATTTGATTTGTGTTGCGAATTTGTTGATAAATGGGTTTTGGTGTCCGAAAATGAAATCTCTGAGGCAATGTTCTTCATTTTACAAAAAGAACACAAGGTGATTGCTGTATAATGATAGAAGATTACAAATTTAGTATTTAAGCAAGATTTTGATTCAAGTACAAAAGTGCATTGAAATGCATTTGGTTTTTTGATTGTCTGGTTTGATTCTAAACCTTTGCAACATTTAACCTGTTCAAGAATTGGAAGAACTACAGAGTAATTGAATTCCTTCAACTATTTATTGTGTTGCAGTTGGTTGAGGGTGCTGCTGCAGTGTGTGTTGCCGCTTATAAAAAGGAGAAAGAAAATCACAGAGGAGAGAATATTGTGCTGTTGATGTGTGGTGGAAATGTTGGAGCTGATGTTGTGAAGAATATTATCGAGACAAACATCTGAAAACGAAAGAGGGCAGAAATAATTCATACTTTCAAATGCTAATAACAACAATATACTATAGTTAATTAAATTAATGAAATGTACTTCAGGGAATATACCATCCCCCAGACAGCTGTGGTAACAGCAACTGGGGGTGCCTCTGTTTGAATGAATATCAGAGTGTTACCGATACTATTTTTTTTTTCTCCCAAATTATTCAACAAAAATTGATATATATAAAGGTAGATCCTGTTATTTTGTGCTGCTATTTTCAATATGTACCTAATCGTGATTCGAACCATACTTATACATAGTTGAAAGTAAAACTGAGAATCTGTATAGGTCAGCTAGACGTTGTGATATAGATAGAGTTCAGCATTCACTTTCCAAGCTTTTGCATATTTCGTGTGGCATCGTGGCAATTTGCCCCTCTGACATCGTATTTTGCTCCGCCAGCTTTGACGAAATCGGAAACTGATGCTCGACCACCGACATTTTGCTGCGGACCTGCTGGTCGCCAAGTGTCTGGATGCATGTGTTTTGCATCAGTTACGACGGTGTCGAAACTTTTACCTTCTTTCCCTTTGTGAACAAGCCATTTCCCGCCATCGCTGGTCGTTATCAGGGTTCCTGAATGCATTGCACGATCACGTTGGCCAGAATAAGAGGTGCTTATACCAGCCGCATTGGCTCCAAGGACACCAACACGCCCGATTCTGCCCCCGTTAAAGGCATCCAGTGGTCTTTCGACGGGTTGGGAGCTGACCACTTGTTTGTTATAAAGATTAGTTAAGCCTGACTTTGTCCGAATGTCGTGAGGAAAGCTACCTCCGTGACCAGAACTGGATATTAAAATGAAGTGTAAGAAAAAATGTAATTACTATTAGTATTATATTAGTATATTCCATTTTTTAGTTTTAAATTTTAATAATATCAAGTTAAAGAGATTCGAACCTCGCGCAGGGAATTGCAAAAAAAATAAATAAACAAGGGCAAGGGAAAGGCAAAAGAAACACCGCATTCCTTAAAAACGCATTGTTAATTCAACTTAATGAAACGAATGTCAGGCAATGTCTATGCAACTATGCAAATGAAACTTTTTAAATAAATTTTAGCGCTGGTAAATTCACCTACCCTTATATACAGAAACTTATTTCAACGGCACCGATAAATAGACATTTTGCCTAGTTCAGCATTCAGCCTAACCTCCTTGCCCTTGGACCTGATCTAGTAATTTGTTAACCGATGTTTGTCGTCTCAACATAAATTTTACTTATAAATATGCTCAAGTCTATATATCAGTTATAGCTGAATTTCAGACCCACCTTTTGCTATGAAAACCAGACATGTTTTGAGTCTTTGTTGTCGTGTGGTTGAGAACGTTTGCGAAATTTTTAACACATCCGTCGACGCGACCTCAATAAACTTTACCTGGAAAGGGTGCAGGCCACCTTATATATGCCTGTATTATCATTTTCCTATGATGTAATGGGAAAGCCCCGTCCATTTTCTTACGAAATTCACTTCAATAGAAGAAGAAATTCACTTCAATAGAAGAAGAAATTCACTTTAAGAGAAAATTTCTAATAATTTACGATAATATCCGAGAATTCGTTGACGTGTCTAATCCTGTATTCCTGTTACCATGAAGCCCACGTTCTTGGAAGGCTATATATACTTATGCGTAGGCAATGCATGTGCATAAAAAAATTTAAAATTTGCAGCCATCGGTGCGAATCCTCGTTGCATTTATGCTTATGTGTTCTATGGGATATAGACTCATATTCGCCGGAAAATGGCAAATACGACCATGGTCATATTCGCCGGAAAATGGCAAATGCGACCATGGTCATATTCGCCGGAAAATGGCAAATACGACCATGGTCATATTCTCTGGAAAATGGCAAATTCGACCATGGTCATATTCGCCGGAAAATGGCAAATACGACCATGGTCATATTCGCTGGAAAATGGCAAATGCGACCATGGTCATACTCGCCGGAAAATGGCAAATACGACCGTGGTCATTTTCGCCGTAAAATGATATTGAATTTATGATACTTTTATATGGTAACAAAGGACACAGTGCTGCCCCCGTGGATCCGGCGTCCCTGATATAGAGTCCCGAGAATTAGGTAAAAGTCACGAGGGTCTTTGGCCCCGAGTTAGAGCATGTTCACGTGTGTTCTATGGGATATAGAGTTCCAAGAATTAGACAAAAGTCACGAGGGTCCTTGGCCCTGGATATGATTGATAAAATCACTCATAATTCCATAGAATTTGATGAATTTGATGAATTGCTCAATTGAAGACACTATGAGATATAGAGCATGGAAACACCAGAAGCCGATTTGGCGAGTGAAAGTAGTTCTTCTCTTGTTAGTTTTTTCTCTAAGCAATAGTGGGATATCACTCAATATGCGATCCAGCGTGATTTAGGGGGAAAAACCAGGAAAAACACGTTTTTTATTTCTTCATATGTGTTGTCGAATATAGCACTCCAGTTTTTCTCAGTTCAATGGTCGAAGGTTAGTGATATTGCCATGGCAACAGCGCCATCTTGGTATTTAAATTTATAACTATAAAATTTCGATAGATTTCGCCTCCATTTTAGTGGTTTTTAATTCTTCTTGGTCGAGCAAAATGTAGTGCAAACCATGGAGAGGCCGCTCTATGAGCTCGATTACGAGTTAGTTTCTCCTGTAAGTATTTTGTGGCGATAAAATTCATACAAACGCCTTTCAGCCAGTATACAGATTACAGCAAAATATGAAATGTACTGTACTATTTATGTTATAAACTTATTAAACTATATCCATGTTTAGAGTGCATTTCATGCCAAGTTTGCTCAGCTTACTGCCCCGACAAGTCTCTTTAAAAACTTGGGGCAAAGAGGTATGTTTCCAAAAGTGATAATCTTTTACCAAAAACATCGATTTGTCATTTGTGAAGTCTCACGTGGGATTATCTTGAATATTCTTGGAAACTTTATTGCCTGAGGCAATGATTAGTTATTGCCTTTTTAGACTTCAAAGCTGCAGCTGAAAATGCAGATGCAGAAAAGAAAATCCGCCCAATTACCCCAGTTGATGTGAGTATTTCGAACCATTTAACGTTTGTTTTTCCCCAGTGTGGTGTATTATTAAGCAATAGTTTATCGTGAAGAGTCCTGAAGAGACATTTAAATGGCTTTCTGGTTTTACAGAGCCGGTCAAACTTTGTGTAAAATCATGCAGAATTTCCCTGTAGTTTGACGTTACATGCATAATGAGAAAGGTTTATTACTCTATTCTGCTTCAGGGTAAACAAAATCTAGGGTTGTTGAGAAGTGAAATCATCTGGTACTAGATGGAGTGACGTATCACTAGAGTAAATGCCAATGCTACATTGTTTATTTTTTAAAATATTTCTCAGGAAGCAATCAGGGAACCAGTGAAGTCGTCCAACGAGCTTTCAAATGTTTTAAGAAAACGGATAAAAGCGAAGGATCGTCCTGTCTCTGGTCTGACCGCCAGCCAGCAACAAGGACTGGTAATTCATTCAACAGCAAATGCTATTTTATTGATTATGTAATTTTGTCCAGCTGAAGGCATTTTCCACGTATTTTCCACATATCCTTCACACATCATTTTCGTCCATTTCAGATTGGTGTCATAATCTCAGAGCTCGGCAGTTCTTGGTCCGAAGTGAAGCGCTTAGCTCCAGATCCATTTCTGGTATGTATTCTGTCTGGAGTTGAGATTTTAAATACATACAACAAAACTATTTTAAATTGTGCCATGAAGATCTGGTTAGATCTTCTCAAAATGCCAAATTTATTTTGAGTTTATATAACTTTTATAAAATACCATTGAAATGAAATTTAATGTCAGCTATCAATCTTATCTTCCAGAGCGAGGAACAGAACCAGGAAGTTGAAAGGTAGTTGTTTTATAATACTTAAACTTACAACAAAGATAATCTATGAATATGGCATATGGTCAGTGGGCGGATCCAGGGTAAGACAGAATAAATGAATACACTGTTCTAACTTGTTATCACATTGGAAGATTCTCAATCAAAAATATTATTTGGAAATCCATGACCAAAATAAACATCAGTGTTCTTAAGCCAATTGTTATTTATTCTGCCTATAAACCTTGAATCCACCAGTCACCACTGTATATTATGTTGTTTATTTACTTACATATAATATAAAAACTAATATTAATATAAATCTTCAAATTTTCTATGTTTTTTCTAGGTTTTTAGCCATTGAACTGGTCAATATTGCAGAGGATATATATTTCACCACTTTAGACAAAGCAAAAGGTATTGTATTTAGAGTGTAATAAGTAATTCAATTTAAGCAATTTAAAATAGCTAGTATATTTGATTCAGTGGTATGTCAAAAACATGTATTCTGCATGCATTAAGCCTCAAAAAAGGCTCAATAAAACGGTGCTTCAGCTTGTGTTGCATTTATTTCAGAGCTGAATGATCGTGGGGTATTCTCAACCTATGCAAACAACAGTCGTTTGAAAGCCCAGCTTGCCTTGGAAGCCAATCAAAGGTGAAATATTGATGTGCCATTTAGGCTAATATGGTGATGGCAAATATCCGTGAATTATTTAAACCTAATTTTCAATTTGTGACTTGTAGCTTCGATGTTCGTAAGATTCACAAGAGATTGGCCTCGGGTTTCAAACAGACCTTGGCACTCGCACAGAACAGCCGTGTTTCTGCCAGCGATTCCGATAACACGCTGTATAAACCACGGTTGGTGAAATTAGGCTCAAAGGTGAAGGTTCTGCTTGTGTATTGTATTTGTAAGGCAGCCAAGACTAGCAAGTGATTTAGGGCCAAGCCGCCGGGAGACGTTTTGAAAAATAAAACTCGGTTTTCCGGCGGGAAAATATTCTGATCTTCGGCTCATTTCTCCTGGCATAAACCATTGACATAAAAGATTGCAGTTCGTCTTCGAAAAATGAGGCAAAATTCGCCATGTTTTGTTTTTGGGGAAGTCTTTCTTATTTTTTTTGTTTTAACAGAAAACCGGGAGAAAGAAACGAGCCGGTACCCTCGCAACACTCGCGATTCCCCCACGACTGACGAGAGAACAAAGAGATAGAAAAAGACGAGACAGTGACATTGCTCAGGTAGAAAATACAAACAAAAAACATATTTTTGTTGCTATTGCCATTGACATTGTCCTTTAAGGTTGGGTGGAAACCTGCCGTAGAGTAGATTGATTGACACATTTTACTCATGAAAGGTCATTCGCTTTTGTAATTTTAGCTTGAGACTCAACTGCCTGAGATTTCTGTTCGAAAAGTCGAAGAAACCTTCGGAATCCCTTCGGATATTTACAAGAAGCGTGAATATGGTTAGTGTGAATTGCGATAAGAATAGAAAATCCTATGTTTTTGCATGTCGCTAGATTTTAAAGCGGAAATTTTTCAATTTTTTTTTACTCGACAGGAAAAGAAGAGATGGTTGCTGAATCTGACGACGAAACAGAAGGAGGGTAATGATCGATGATATATATGTCGTTGAGTTTTGAAATATATTTCTTATTTTAACAGCAAACGTGGAGATATTCTGCCAACTCTCATGTAATGTTTTTCAAACCTTTTCATATCTTATCGTTCGTTTTAGGCAAGAAATGACCAGACCGCTGTCAGGGCTTGAAGTACGTTTTGCTGCAACTTTTTTTCGATAAATGCTTTGTCAAATGTAAAATTTAGATGTTCTGCGGGAATCCCCTGTCACCCCATCCCCTTATTTCCCCCGTTACCCCTTACCTCCCGTCACCCCTTACCTCCCGTCACCCCTTACCTTCCGTCACCCCTTACCTCCCGTCACCCCTTACCTCCCGTCACCCTATCCCCTTATTCCCCCCGTCACCCCTTACCTCCCGTCACCCCATCCCCTTATTTCCCCCGTCACCCCTTACCTCCCGTCACCCCTTAACTCCCGTCACCCCTTACCTCCCGTCACCCCTTACCCCCCGCCACCCCATCCCCTTATTCCCCCGTCACCCCATCCCCTTATTTCCCCCGTCACCCCTTACCTCCCTTACCCCATCCCCTTACCCCTCTCCCTCATCACCCCATCAACCCCCCGGCCACCCCCTTAGCCGGGATGTAGTATTTTTTCTCAGCGCCTTTTTCATCATCTCCCCAGAAACGTAGTCGGTCGCTGCCAAACCTGCTGGTTGGTGAGTCCTTGCTGGAAGAGCTCGGAATTACAACAGACCATGGAAGAAGACTTGGTAAAGATATGTAAAACCACGCGATTCCTTTTGTATTGCATTCTGCTAAACATTTTCTTCATTTTTACTCAAGGTCGCAAGGACAGCGTGGACAATATGGGGGTGAGTTATATGTAATTACAATCCCGTGGAAAAGACCTGTTTTTGAGAACTTCAAAAGTCCCAGTTGGCCCTCATATTGCCCTTGCAATAACTGTTTTCAATCCCTTTGGGCTGAAAATTATATTCTTTGGATTCCACGTTGGAGATTAAACCAGTTACACTTCGTTTATTTTGCCTTCAGATAAATCTTGCCTGTAGTGGAATGGTGGCGTCAATTGATAGCGCAAATACCCTGGGGGAAGTAGGGTGAGTAGTCTTTTAAACTGACAGGGAGAGGGTGGGGTGAGGTTGGAATACTCAAGTTGGAAGACTATATAGAACTGAATTTTCTTGTGAACGATTTCGGGACACGGTCATACGGAATTTGGAGGGTATGTTGGAATGCGGTCTCTTTTGAAACGGGATTTTCTTTTTCAGAAAGCAGGATTCAAACTATATGGCCGCCGATTTAAAGAGATTGGTCTCAGATGAAACTCTTCCTAAGGTAGTAAAAATCATGTAGCTTTATTTCTGGTTATAATGAAAGCTCAGGGTATTTGTGTGCATTTCTTGAGCTACACAACAGGTTAACTGCAAATGCGATATAAATTTCGTTATTAAACTGATATTTAGCTTCCGAAGTCAGAACAGGAGGAAGATCTACCTCCGTTATTGCAGGTCAGTGGAAGTCTGTTTGGTTGAAATATTACTTGTACAAACTATCATTCACCACCTCAAAATGATGGAAACTGCATTGGATATAAATTCAGTCTTCGACAAAATACACATGCAAAGTTTTATAGCTTAAATGAAGTTAGTAAAAGACTGAAATTCTCGTTTTTCGGCTACCCTTATCAACCCAAGATGCATTGCTAACATAATCTAAGCCAAAACAGCTTTGGATTTCTCTCTAGCCTTTGTAGCAGTTTTTCACATTGACCCAAAGCTGTTTCATCAACAGCTATAAGTCGATGAATATAATGTTTACATACACCACATACACCAGTTTGAGTTCTCTGCATCGCTGTACTTTTGTACCGTGAAGTTTGCTAGAATCACCTAAAGATAGACTGGAAAATATTGCATATTTACACAAAACAGGCGTTGAGTTATCAAAGTACAAGAAAGAAGAAAGTTTTGCAGCCAAGTTATGAAGCAGATCGTGATGAGAGCGTAGAGGAGATAGCCTCGACTGTCGCTTCGTCTGTCGCCTGTCACGAGGATATTGATGACGACGATGTTGTTCATGTTAGTTGCTTTGTGTTGAATTATGAGTTTCTCTGTGCTTTATTCTGTTCTCAATGTCCTTTCTCTTATACATTTCCTCTCTCCTGTTTCTCTAGCCCGCGCCGCCTGTTCAACCCGCAACTGTCTCGACCAGATTACCAGATAAGGTTGACTTAATAACATTGAAATAACTCGCTTCTAAATCTGCGTAGTAACACTGGATCAATAAGAGATGATCCTTACTGGACCTCTAGGAAGAACAGTTTAGAACTGATAGAACTATCCAGTATAAATAAAGTTAGTTTAGTTTAGGTTTTCTCCTGTAGTAACACTGGATCAATAAGAGATGATCCTTACTGGACCTCTAGGAAGAACAGTTTAGAACTGATAGAGCTATCCAGTATAAATAAAGTTGGTTTAGTTTAGGTTTTCTCCTGTAGTAACACTGGATCAATAAGAGATGATCCTTACTGGACCTCTAGGAAGAACAGTTTAGAACTGATACAGCTATCCAGTATGAAGGTTTAGTTTAGGTTTCCTCCTGTAGTAATACTGGATCAATAAGTAGTGAAGTAGAGCTCTAGGAAGAAACGAATTGATCGCTTATTCTATTCCCAATTCCAGAGTGTCGTCCGCACGTCTGATGTTCGTGTCTCAAACAGAGTGAACAAGTCTGAAATGACATTAAAAACTTTCCCCACGGTCTATAATGACCTTATTGGAGAGGTAATGAGCTATCACGTTCATAACTTTAGTGACATTATTTCTACGATGCGATAACTTCTTAACTCTTCATTTCCAATCAACTTAGATCGATGCGGCCACTGTGAAGTGGTTGGACAGAAATCTCTATATTGGTGACGAGATTCGCGAGGTTTATGAAGAGGTCATCAAAACCGTTGGGAAGAGTCATCTTCTGTTTGACCAGGTTTGTTTTGATGCTTCTTTACACATCTTTTTGACACTCCTCCCTATCCACGGAGCTCGCCACGAGGCCCCCCTCCTTTGCCACGGAGCTCCCCTACCTTGCCACGGAGTCCACCTCCCTTGCCACGGAGCTCCCCTCTCTTGCCACGGAGTCCACCCACCTCCCTTGCCACGGAGTCTCACACTCCACCCTTGCCACGGCACCCCACCCCTTCCTAGCGACGGGTCTCCCACCTACTCCATGCCACTGACACCCCTCCCCTCTCACCCCCCCCTTGCCACAAAGACGCCCTTCCTTTACCCACCGTCTTGTCAAAATGTCCTTGTTTCCAGCTTTTTTTCAACTCTCGTTCTCTCCAAGGATTTTGACTGTTCGTTCCCGTCTTAAAGCAGTTCTGTTTTCCATACACTAGGATCCTTACGTTGAGAATCACGCTACGGGGGTGGACCTCTCCCCTGCTGTGCATTCCACGTTGCTGACTGGCAGTAAGGATAATCGTATCATTAATACCTCGCTGCATCGCGATGTTCCACCCCCCTGGGGGAGACACGAGATGGATGAATGGAAGAACAGGTGAGATTGAACGAAAACAGAATCAGACTATAGGATTATGATTTAAAGATTAAACATCAAGGGTCAGGTTTAAGGATTCAAATTGAGAGTTAGCATTGTGAAGATTTTGGAAAATTAAGGTATAGGTTTAAGGTTTAAGATTAAGGTATAGGCTTAAGGTTTAAGATTAGGGTATAGGCGTAAGGTTTAAGATTAAGGTATAGGCTTAAGGTTTAAGATTAAGGTATAGGCTTAAGGTTTAGGAGTAGCTACATCAGGCATTAGGGTAAGGTTGCATTAATCTCTGTTAGTTTATCTTCTATTGGATTATTTGTTTTCCTAGTATTAGAGTTGACTTGATATCTCTCGTAGTGATGATCATCTTTTATTTTTTTAGTCCAAAGTTTGGTGATCTTGGTCGACAAGACATATTAAACGTAAGTGAAAAGTTTTTTGAACAGTGCTCTGAGTCAGAAACACAAAAGTACAAACGACTGTGTCCCAGTCTTGACAATCTTGCCTTTTTTTCACCTGGCAGATTGGTTCCCAGGGTCTTCACGACTACACGGGCAAAGCAAGCAAGTCCTACAACTCGTGGTTGGCCTGGTGGAGATCTACCATTAATATTGATGATTACTTCAAGTACTTATCAACACAGGTAGTATAAGATTCGAGTTGTCTTGTTAGTCTCACCACGGTCAGTGCCCTTCAGGGGAGTGGGGTGGGGGGGAGTGTTAACCCGGGCTTCAAAGTTACAATATGTGGAAAGGTAGATTCGGGTCCATGCATATGAATGGAAGACTATTCTCTACGGGAAAACAGCCATTCAAATTTCTCTGGAAGCCTTGCTGGAAAGCTAGTATTGAATACTATCAGCACCCTTATTCTAAAATTTCGTTCGTTTCTTGCTCAGGATAATGATTATTTATCATTAACTTATCATCTCTACGAGTCTGACGACAGTGATTCTGAGAATGACGGAGACAAAGATCGTAAACCTAACGCAAGGGAACTCGAATTAAAAAGGTAAATCAAGCGAGAATTAAACAAAACTATTTAAATATATCAACAAGACTAACTTTCCGATACATTCAGGATAGCTGAACAACTTTTTCACAACTTAGGGCAAGGGAAGAGAAAATAGCTGAAATAAGAAAGCTCAAAGAAAATTACAACGTTGGTTATTGGAACGCCAATAGCGTTTTGCTTGGAGGCCTTGGAAAATATCCTGATATCACTGGTACGTGTTTGGAATACCTCGGAGATAAACCATTTAATAGTGGCCGGTTGTATAAAACTCTTTAACAACAATTTGCATAGTTAAATCCTAGTTAACTGATTGATTGTCCAATTCTGTCCTTAACTACAGTTAAAAGTTAACTAGTCTTTTATTGTACAACTGACACCAGGGGCAGGTTGTATGAAAGCCGGATACCGCTATCCACCGGATAGTGATTTTTTCAACCCTTTTAAAAATGCTCGAAAAGCGATAAAATTTCAGCTTGGAAGCAACAATTATTAAAGAGGATCTTCGATTTAGGAATACTAAGATTTAATCAAAGTTGTAGCAAACAACGGGCGATTTTAAAGCGATTGAAAAAAACACTATCCGGTGGATAGCGCTATCCGGCTTTCATACAACCTGCCCCAGGCTTTTACAGTAGCGTAGCCAGCCTGACGATTTTGTCCCGCTATGTAAATTTCGAGTTATTATAATTATTCATGTCTTTAGAAATTTACTGTTTTCACAGTCAGTGAACACTAAAATATTAGCATAGCGGGACAAATCGACAGGCTGGCTACGCTACTGGGTTTTTATCCATCAGTCTTACATCAGTAGCATGCGTTAGCGTTACTCTAGCCCTGTGGTCAGGTCATGCAGTACAAAGCAAAATTGAAGCAAAGTTGTGATTTGTTTAATTTTCTTTGCCCAGATGAGGAACTCGGCATCAACGCTGAACCGAGCATAGACAGTCCTTCCCGGGATGAGGACAATAGCCTTACACCATCCAGTCCTCTTACAAATAAAGATAGATCAGAGGTAAAGTTTAACACCTGTTAAAGCTAATATTCGGGTAATGTATCTGGGACCGGTTGTAGGGCTATAAAGTGCACACATGTAGCTTAAAGATTCATTCTTTCCCCATTGTATTTGCAGGCGGGCACGCCGTTGAGTTTACAGGACCGATTGGAACGTGTTTGGACCTTGCTGCGCATGCCCGACAATCTGAAGCTGGACATGGCGATAAAATATAGCTCGGAAACTTACATGGAATCTTTAGAAGAGGTGAGGGAACTTGTGGTACAGATGTGGATCTCCAGAAGTGTGGTGGGGCCGTCGAGGGATACCCCTACCACTGCCCTCACCTATCGATCTAATGTCCATCGTAATTTAGTTTTTAACTATTTCCATTTGTTTGGTATGGTATTTCAAATACTCTCCATCTGACAGGTTTTACAGCACTGGGAGACAGCCGTTAAATTAATTCTGGCCAGAGAAGCTTTGATAATGAAATTAGAAGATTTCGAGAGATTGGCTTCGGACCCAAACCGTTTCTTCGAGAGAGGCACGTTTATAAATCGGTATCCAGTTGTATAGCAGTCAGATAACTCTAGACAGTGGTGGAAATTGTGTACCATTCCACAGCAAAACCATTAGTTAAATGTATTCCAAAGACTTATACCAACGACTATAGTGCAGTTAGTGTAAATATACATTTGCTTAGTCAGTCGTAAAAAGAGTTACCTTCAGCTGAGAAATAGGCTGAGGCATTATCATGCGTGTATCTGAATATAATAGATGTCACACACGTTATAAAGTTGTATATTTGAGCACTTTTATTCCAACGTCCACACATTACAACTTACACAGTTGTGTGAATTAATACAATGTTATCCTCTTATATCCCCAGGAAGCCCTGGTTCGGCCAGTTCTCGGATCAAAGAGGCGAAAACTAGAAAGCAATTACATCATGTAAGTTGGAACATCGCTTGTTTTACTTATTTAGCTAATAATTTTGTGTAAATGTAGATGATTTTACTCGTTAGCAAAAAGTAATTTGTATAAGAAAACTCGGATTTGTAAGAAAACTCCAGTGTCTCTGAAACATCAAAAAAATCTAAGAAATTTATTATTTGAAAATAATGTATGTTTCAATCATGTTATTATTGGGTTATTCAAAAGAAACTCTTTCTTTTTCTTGGCAGAAATTGGACATGATTGAAGTTCGAATTAAGAAAATCGTTGTTACGATTCATGAGACGTTTTCCGATGTTGTCACGTTCCAGGTAAAAGAATGGTGCGACTGGAAGGACTTCGTTCGACCTGTTTCACTAACAGCCAGGGGCGGGTTGTGTCAAGCCCGTTTAGCTTAAACGGTGGATAAATCAAAAGATACAACCGGCCCCAGTATTGTATGCAAAATCAGCTCAATACCCTGTGTGCTGTCCAGTTAGGAACTCGTAATAGCTCACAAGAATTAAATGCTTTCAATCGTGGTAACCCCACCTATGGCTGGGTAGCGCGTGTACCTTTCCCACACCCATCCAGGAAATAATTGGTTGTTCTGAATTCATTCCATTGCTTATTTTCCTCTCTCGTAGGGTCGTCCTTATCTTGAGAAAATGTCCAGTGATCGTACAGAGATGTTGTATTGGCTTCAACAGGAACGGCGAGAGACCGCTCTCGATATGGCGAAGAAAACTGTGGAACTTAGGATGTTGGAAATCCCTACGACTGTAAATAACGTTGTGTGAATGTGTCATTGTCTTTAAAATATTGTAAATGCTCTGGATCAGACGGTGTAAAAAATTCAAACGAACATCTCCACACTAAAGCAAAAATAACTATGTTGTTTAAATGGGTATTAGATAGGGGTGCGTCAAACTGGGTGTGCACTTTCGATTTACTGCGAAATTTCCATAGAATTACTATTGTAATTCAGTTAAAAATATACGTGATTAGTCTCTATATATAGAGGCTGTCGTGTTTTTGATCTATTTCATCAAGAAAATTATGGCGATTACATGTGATTGTATTTTTCTTTGACCTGGGTCATGTTGTATGGTAGTGTGATAACATCTTTTCGTGCTTTAAACAAGCAGCTAGTGAGAATTTTCTAGCATTGGCTACTCAAAATGCTTGTTTGCAAGAACTTCAGCGGGGAAAGTTTTGACACATTTTGCTGCTCAACTATTGTTCTATTACAAAGTTATTTTGTTAATTTGTTTCATCTGGCGGGAGTTTATAAGCAGTCCTTTTAAGATCTATTTAATACGATACATATGAGGGAATAGGTTGGAGACCTATTTCCAGGGCCGTCGCGAAGTGATTTGGATTGGGGGGGTGTCAGGGGTAAAAATACCGAGTGATTCAAGACAGGGGTGGCGCCAGGAATTCCCCGACACACGGGCTAAGTTCCCCGACAGGGGGTTGGGGGCTGAGCTCCTGGTTGTCTTTAACGTGTAGGAAGGTAAGGAAGCACAGTTTTCGGTTTATTGCTTCAGCCCCATGCCTTAGATTTGGAGCCTATGCTCACGAGGCGCCACCTTGGTTGGCGCCGAGCGAGAAAATTTTTGAAATTTGATTGCTCTAGGTCTTTGGAAATTAGCATTTCAGAGTCTTATCACGGACTTTTTCATGAAAATTTTTATGCTACAAACCATGTACAATACTAAGTTAAATTTTGAAGCAGTTTATCTGTTTTATTTGGGAGAAATAAAAACAATAAAGGGCGACTCAATGTATCTCCTGTTCATTCCCCGAATTGTAAAATTCTCCCCGACAGGGGAGCTAGAGTTCCAATATCTCAGTGAAGGCTGAACTGACAGTCAAACAAAAATCACGCCTGAGGACAATTTAAGAAGTAAACACGGGTTTCACATTTCAGCCTCCCGCCGATTTTCGACGACTAAATGACGACACTTCTGACACTGAGATGAACTAATCAAAACTATTAAACTAATATGGTTTAAGCATAATATTGTAAGACAACAATTTGTACAAGCAGTATTTCAAAATACGGCAAAAATGAAGTTATTGCTTCAACGCCTACATATTGCTAAGTTTCTTCGATACTTTAACAACTCACTGAATGCCGATTTTGTTCGACTTGCCTAACATTATCGTAGCAATTTGCCGACTCCGGCCGATTGGAACAAATTATTGGGGGGGTGAAGCACCCCCCCACACCCCCCCGCTCGCGACGGCCCTGCCTATTTCTCTCTAACATTTAACAGTCTTCGCTAGTGGTGGCTGGGGGGACAATGTATAAAGTCATAATTATTAGAAAGCTTCTTTTCTCTGAATGCAGTTATAAATGCATGCTTCTCAATACATGTTCAATTTGTTAATTATCATGCAGAATGATCATGTAATAATAGTATACAGCTATACAGGGTGTCCCAAAAAAATGTCCCCCTATACAAATTACTCATCTTTTGTTGAACGCGCGGTATTATACCTCTGGGAATTTAAAATAGTTTCTAAACCGAACAACAACACAAAAATTTGAAATTACAAATTGATTACTAATTCCAGTAAGAATGCCTTAAAATGGTTCAACTGACATCACAGCAGCGAGTATTTATCGTAACAAATTACACGTTAACCCAAAGCGCCGGAGTTAACGCCAGAACAGACGTCTTGTTTTAAAGAAAAAATGAAACCATAAAACTGATATATACACATGAAATAAAGATGATGTAAAGTCCGTTCTGCGCATATATTCTGCGCATAACAATGTTTGTTGACGTTGGTTATATAATCTTTACATGACGTATGAATCGTTATAATTTTCTTCTCGCTCGACTGGCTGTGACCTCTAACAACGATGTGTTCAATAGGTAAGAGACATCAGTGTATTGACATGCACGAATCAATTTGTATTTAGTTGCACCCTTGCAACAAAGTACGTAGAATAGTTCATGATCATGAATACAAATATATATATATATATATATATATATATATATATATATATATATATATATATATATATGTATGTATATATATATATATATATATATATATATATATATATATATATATATTATATATATATATATATATATATATATATATATATATATATATATATATTATTGAATTTATCTTAAAATATTGTCGTCGCTACACGGTGTTTCACTCAATCCTGTATTTGTCGCCTGAAGATCGTCTGACTGTAAAAGGTCAGGCGTGAAACACCGTGTAGCGACGACAATATTTTAAGATAAATTCAATAAATGACTCGCTCTACTTGTAATTAGTATTGAGCACTCTTTTATCCATTACAAACAATTACATTTGGATATATATATATATATATATATATATATATACATACATATATATACACCCATTGGCATATTGCATTTAATATCCGTGCACCCCCTGTTTAGGACCTTGGAAATTCCAGGGGTTGTATATTAATTTTTAGGATGGAAATCCAGAGGGTAGGGTAAATAACGGAAATTATGATGGAATTTCCAAGGGGGTGTAGGTAATTTTATACTGGGAAATCCAATGGGTGGATAAAATAACAAGAAAGTTAAATGGAAATTCCAGGGGGCAGTTAAATGTTTTTAGGTGGAAAATCCAGGGATGTACGACAAAAATTCCAGTGGGTTAGTTTTCAAAACAGAAATACAGAATTGGGAATAAAATGCTTAAAACCTTCTCTGACACAAATCTTGAATGAATTATATTACAGTGGATTATATTAGAAGCACTTGGAATTCCAGGCACCTTCTTTTAGAAATAACAATTTCCAAGGGTGAAACAAGAAATATTCAAATATTCCAGGGGCTGGAAGAATATTAGCCACGGAATTCCAGGGTGGTATGAGAAAAAAACCATTTCTAAAGGAAAATCCATGGGGGGGGTGGAGTTTGCAGTTTGTCCTCAACAGGGGGTGTATGGATATTAAATGCAATATGCCATTTGCAAAAACGTTGGCCGCAGATAGATAGATAGATAGATACTCGAAGTCTAATTAGAATTGCATATGATTACATTTGCATGGGATTTCTATAATATTACACAACATATGCAATTCTAATTAGATTTCGAGTATCTATCTATCTATCTATCTGCGGCCAACGTTTTTGCAAATGGATATATATATATATATATTTATTTATTGCTTAATAATATTTACAAATCGCTACTCAGAGTTTCACGCTAATGCGATTTTTAAACGATTGAGATACCCAGTCTCAAAACATTTCTCGCCCTTACGTCCTGACAAGGACCCTGGCTTAGGTCAAAACGTCGAGAGGTGCTTTGTCTATATTTTAGGCAGTTGTCATACCACATTTGATAAGAAGCAGTTTGAAGACGCTGCTACGCTGCTCTGGTTATATTGGAACGTATCCATGCACAAACATATCATGCATATAAGTCTACGGAATCCTATATATACTGTAAAATATTAACATTTTCAGAGCCGATGGGAGGATCATTGTGCTAAAATACCGAAAAACGCCATTTTCGGTAGAAGACAGGCAAAAGCTTAAAGCCGGCATTGGATAATAGCTGAAATTCACACGGTATAATGTTATCTGAAGTTATCGTGTGTTCGTAAGATTTTCGCCACAGGATATTCAATTTAATTTTATTTTTACCTTTACTTATATAGGGGTTTCTACTAGCATGGGTGATCAGAATGTTTCCTTTTTGGCAACAGCAATTCCCGACAATTTCCACCCTGGTGGAAAAAATTTGTCACGATTAGTTCCGCCCAAAATTCAAGACAGATGTGAGATGGCAACAAGGGGCTTCAGCTATTGTAGCAACATATGCGATAGTACGTTCACCTTTCGACCAAAAATGTGTAGAGCTAGGGTTAGGACATGCGCTCGATCATCTGACAAGAATCGCACCTACGTACGCCTTCCAGTCAGAGGAACGGAGTGCATTCTCGGTACTAAAATTGTATTACCTGTTTGAACAGGTATCTTTCGCCAGGAAACAAGACACTGACAAATTCCTTTTATGTTGATTTTCCCTCTCCAATATGTGTTCTTTTTCAGTTTGAAACATCTGTAGGCATAAAACCACGATGCAAGGATGCAATTATGAAACTGATTCAAGATATGGCTGTGGAAAGAGCAATGATGGCCCAGATTTATTGGAAAAATTAAATACATGCCTGATGGAAAGACTGACGAGGGATGACGAAAATGTACGTAATTGAATAAATTCAATTGATAATAACTAACTAAATTTCGACCAATTTGGCAGTGAAATACCATTGATGCAACCAAACGATGTGGTTTTCACGAGCTAATTATTACTTTACGTTCATGTACCTATTGGCTTTGCAGGCACTTGTCATTAGGGCAGTTTTCCACTAGGTCAAATTTTCTCTTCTATTGTGAGAATTCAACCGTAGCGGAATCCCTTGACCAGTCACAATGGAAAAGAAAATCGAGCCAAAAATTTCACTCATTCAAATTCAGCCTAGAGGTTGCTCATACAATATCGAATTTATAACTAATTATCGCTTTTCTCAGGTTATGAAATGGCTTAACCAATTAACGACTGTTCCCGTTAACCAACAATATGGCCCAGCAATAGGAATAAAATCGTCTGTTCTGGACACGTTTATCAATCTAAAAAGCAAGGTATGTTGTCATAAGATAGTCCTGTGTACATTAAGTGCACCTAATGACCTTGATTGTGAACCCATATGAAAAGAAAGTGATCATGCAACACTTTGCAATAAATTGAAATCCCCTAAGAATAAAGAACATACCTGTTTTACATTTTTATTTTTAATGCGAATCTGTATACACTGTTTAATGTACCATCTGTCACACAGGATGTTTCAGCATTTCTGAAGAGCATGTCAGATAAAACATCAAGCACATCAATGATGTTTGCTGTTCAGGATGACTACTATAACAGACATAAAAAAACGAAACGAGGAGAAATGCAAGATGGCCAAAGGTTGGAAAATTCCAATTGCAGCGATAAAACCAGAAGCACTGCACATAATTAATGGTAAATATGTCATATATGCTATAATGCTCTTTAGTGCACAAATAGTGAATAATAGAGTGTTTGGGATGTCATTTCAAGGGAAACTTACAAAATCTTAAATGAAAATGGAAAATATCTTTGATTCCCTGCATATCATTTATTATGAGCAGATAAATTCAATCTTGAATGGCCAATTCATGAAAGTGAAGATTCTGGGGATAATGCAACATCTGATCAGGCAATAACTGAAGAAGAAGAGGAGGAATTAAATAATGTAGAAGAAAGGCTGATTAATCTAGGAAAAGGTATTAATATTTAATCATAAAACTTGTATGAGTGTAGAGATGATTTTAGTTCTTGCCTTCTGTATATACCATATTACATCCAAATGAGATGGACTTGAACCATGTCTTGCATAGTTCTATAATTAGTTGCCATTAATTATTAATATAATTCATTATCATTTCTAACGTGTAATGGATGAGATCTTGTAGTGTGTTACACACATACTGCAGGTAAATAATTTATTATTTTTATTTAGATTTTGTAAACACCTTGTGTGGTAGCACCAATGAATCAGAAAGAAAAAATGAGCCTGCCCCTGTAAGTGGCTTGGTTAACAATTTCTTGAATACTCTAATTTCAAACAGGAAAATCATGTATAGAAAAAAATTAATTAAAACATAAAAAAAAACCATGAAATCCTCACTACTCTTAGAACATTCAATTGAATTAATTACCTTATTATCTATATATCTAATTTACCTGGTACTTATTATATTATCATGTCTCACTTTTAAAACTATATAGTCCTTCTTATCACCAAACACAGCAAAATGGTGGACAACACTAACACCAAATAGAAAAGAAGTATTTCAAAAGGTAAATTCTAGTATAGGCAAATTCTGTATAGTGTTAATACAGCCCTGCTTGACAATTCCTATACAATACTTAGGAGTTAGGATAATTTGAAATGCTTCTTTATAGGGTGTCCAAGCTGGGATAAACTTCACCTTTGAAGAAGAGACAGACCCTACCCAAAAATACAAAAGGCAAGTGATTTAGACGTATTAAAACGCAATATAAAAATAAAACAAAATTTTCATATGCAGTAAATATTTTGCAATCTCACTGCCTTTAAATATTTACAATAATAAATAGCCCTTCTTCACTTGTACACACACTTAGATAAGGCCAAGAAATGGCTATTTGCAGAGGGGACAGTCGGAGTCCAAACAAGAAAAGGTACAATATGCAAATAATATTATTAACTATATGTAAAAGCTTATATACTGGTAATGTAAAATTAATAAAATAGAATTTTTACTCAAAAAATACCTTGCAGTCAGGCAGAACATTTCAACAAGCTCCCCAACAACAGAGCACTGCCAAGCATGTGGCCTAGTAAGTCCAACAAAAGATTGGTCTAATCAGTGGGTACAGTGTGATGGCTGCGATAAATGGTTTCATTTGTAAGTAGCAATATGTTATTGAAATATTAATTTCACAAAATACAATCAATACACTCATCGTAACTCTATGGAATAGTCTTCCAAATTAAAGAAAATATTTTTCGAACATATATTGCTTCAGGGAGAGACCCAATTAAAAATTGTTACCCCACACTAGTCAACGTGCCGAAAAAATATTTTAGACGACTTTTAAATTGATATTACATAACTAATAAAATCGTGTTCTATAACCTACAAAATATCTTCTTATAGGGAATGTGTAAAGTTAACAGCACTACCAATGGAAGAAGAACCATGGCAGTGCAACGATTGCGCATAAAAAACTTTATTTGTATATTTAAACTGACAGTGCCAGATGATTTCTGGTAGTTTCGTACTCTTGTCATTCATTCTCCTGCCGTTTTATTGTGCTAGATTGTGCTATAGTGTCAGTATTAATTTTTTTTTGAATTTGGAATTGATATTTTCAACGATGTCATATAAAGTATAAAACAGCAAGTTGTAATTTATAATTTTTGGGATATTAATAATAGATAGTCTCGAAGATATTTGCCGTATAAATATACAACGCTACAAAAGCTACCTTTTGTCGAAACTATCACGGTTAAACACTTTGTTGCATGCATAAAACGTTTATATAACTTATATAAGTATGTCCTTGAGGTACACGTATAACTGCTGTCCGCAAATATGCAAAAAACGGGAATCTTACCTCCATTGCTTGTCCTTCAATATCATGGTTTCAAATTATATCGCTGTTGTTGTCGGTCGCCAGAATGATTGAAGAAGCGCATTATCACAGCAGAGTCGACTTTACAAAACTCAGAGCAATTAATAACTATTAAAAACTAGCAAAGACCAGAAAGTAAACGTATATATACGAGTATATATATTTTTTCATACATCGCATTGCACCATGGCAGGCATATTGACTTCCGGAAATTCACAAGTATAATTTTAAAAAATAATTATTCTAAATTCTATTCTATGATTGGTTCGAAACCCTTGAAACCCGAAATCTCATTTTAGCCAATCAGGTTAGATCTTGCGAGAGGTGCTATACATATTCTACATATCTGCAAGTGCAACAACCAGTGGCAACAACACAACGAATAACCAGTGAACAACAACACCGCGGAAAAACGTCTGCGCACGCGTCAACTCCAGGGCTTCCACTTGCAAGGAAATTTCCCTGCAAAAGGAAATTTTGGCTTTTTCAAGGAAAAAGGCAAGGAAATAAAATTGAGGAGGAAATGGACAGGAAATTTTAGCCTGGGCAAGGAAATTGCAAGGAAATCTTGAAAATTGTTTATATTAGACTTAAAATTGAATAAAAAATAATAAGTTTGCAAAGATTTGGTTCTTCAAGTATATAACCATTTTCCTCACTCATAGGTGTAGGGTTTTGTTTTCTTCCGGGAGGGGGGCTTAAAGCTTGGCTAACCAAGGTATAGACTTCATGTAAGCCCAGCTAAAAGTCTCCCTGTATAAAATGAGGAATACAGAAAGTAGTGGCTGCGGATCTAAACTTCGTATTTCAGAATTGCTTTTCTAAGTTGTTTGATATATTATTATATGTTATTATATTCACTAATAAAACTGTTTCATGTGTATATAAGGATGTCTTTTTAAAGATTCAACATTGCTATATGATGCAATTATTACCTAGTAAATTTTTTACCCTAAAATTTCTCGGGGGGTTCTAGCCCTCAGCCCCCCCCCCCCAAATACTCTACGCCTATTTTACACTTCTATCAAAGTTTCTGTGGTTAATTTAATAAAAAGTGACCAAATTTTTGGATGAATTTTGGAAGTATTTTTGTATATGGAATATATTTCAGCTGTATCACTTAAAAAAATATTGTTTATTTTGTCACTGAGAAAAATTTGTTCCATTAAGGCCGCTATTTGCAAGGAATTTGCAAGGAAATTTGGAAATTTTGGCAAGGAAATATTTTTGGAAAAAAGGATTTTTTAGCATCTCAAAAGGAAATTTGGTAAATCAATTGTGGAAGCACTGGTCAACTCTGCCTGTAAGTGAGATTAAAAATAATTAAAAAGTGGTTCCGAACGTTTCCGAAGGCTAAAAATGGCGGCAAAAAGGAGTGATTTCATTCGTATCTTCAAATCCATATTTCGAGGGCATAAATAGACACTGCATTATAAAAACTAAGAAAAAAAACGTCCGGAGAGTCCTAGAAATGGCATTCTTCAAAGACACATGTAAAAGGTGACTGTTAACAAATTTTTCGTCTCAAACATTTTGTTTATCAAATAAGCAACGACAGTTTCCGAACTTTTAATTGAGACACGTTTTATTAAAAAAATATATGTCGCCAGATACGAAACGTTTGCGTGTTCTCAATGATTGAAAATTAAGATGTATTTTACAATTTAAATAGATTAGAAGGCTTAACTTTCCGCGGGTTTTCTTAACTTTTAGGTTTGAACTTTTGTTTTCGAAAAATATTCTAAAGCCACCCCGTAAAAAAGGAAGATTTACCGTGAATTCCAGTTCGTTCGATACTCTAAATGCTAGAAGGCTTTTAATTTATGTTCTGTCTGGCCGTCATGTATATTTTTGCCTTTTCTTAACTTATTTTTATCAAATAATGGGCATGTTTTGTTCCAAAAATTGATATTTAGATTTACCATCATATTTTGATATTTCGGCGCGTGCGCAGACATTTTTCCGCGGTGTTGTGAACATGTACAACTGGCACAGTTGCACAGAATTCTGGCACAGACATAGATTACGAACTTCCTCGCGCCAGTCCGGCGCCGTCAAAACTCGTACTCCTATTGGTTAAGAGTCTTAGACAGAAAATACTTGCTCTGATCCTGAGATAATTCATATTTGTCCATTTTACAGCGCGTTGTAACCCGAAAGAAAGCCTTTAATTACGGCCGGATTTCGCGATTCAGAAAGCTAGCTGGAAGGAAAATAATCAGGAGATGATGATCATGAACTTTCTTTAACCATGCTAAGGTATTTTAATTTAAAACCAAACTTTATAAAAAGTGTAATACACTATTATATGATCTATCTGAATCTTACATGTTTGAAATGCATGAAAATGTGGAACCAACCTTGACTACATTTCAGACGTTAATTTTAATCTTTTGGTATAGCTACAATAGATGCGAGTTAGAGTGATGAAATAAAGGCAGTTATACATCAGGGGCCGGTTCGAAAGGCGTTTAGCTTATTAAAACGACAGATCTAAAGTTCAAAATAGAAAACAAAATTATGTATAGGATACAGATTGCAGAAAGTCGCTCGCTCATATCTGTTAACGAAGAATATATCACCAATTTGATTTTGGATTTAATTTTGTTCTAAGTAATACTTTTATTCGTTTATAAGTCATTCGTTTTGTTTTAAGAATGAAATTGGTAAGGCTATGGATAGTTAAAAGACTATAAATGATAAGATACTAAAAAGTGATTTTATTATCCAAGTCAGATTGTCGACCCTGTCAGAGTCACTAAATCTGTCATAGACAATATGTCATATGTAATGTAAAATTCGGAACGTCGCGCACTGAGCTATATATACAATGGAGGGAGCAACCAAAGATACAGAAATTGAAGCCGGAAGTAGCGTGCGGTCGCCAGTGGACGCGCGTACACGCGTAAAAATATCATATCTTGTAGCAAGTTGTTCACAAGCTTGTAACAAGATTTGTTCACACTGCTTGTCCCGAACTGTTGACAAGTCTGATACAAACATGATGTGACAATATTGCTACAATCCTTTTTTGTCAAGTTTGTAGCAATGTTGTTGTATCATATCTGATAAGACTTGTCAGAACAATCTTGTAACAAGTCTGATAATGCCATTGGACTTGCTACAAGTTGTTAACAGCTTGTCCTAAACTTGTTACGTATACAACAAATTGGAACAAGCAGTGCAAATAAATCTTGTTGCAAGCTTGTGAACAGACTTGTAACAACTCTGCTGCAGACTTGTTACAACTTGTGTGTTTTTACCTGTGTACATGGCATAAAAATTGACATGCAGGTTTCACATGCAGGCTAGGTTTCACTATGCAATTTTACTGGCAACGTAAGTTGCCATGAAACAATGCCTTTAGGAAAAAGATACCCTAAAAATGGAGACGTATTCGTTGTATACAAAATTTTCTCCGTATAGCAAATAAGTGCAGTATAAAATGCTGGATTTAATGCGTATCTGAAATTTCCTGTGGCAGAACTTTATAATTATTTAATTCAGAGTTTAATAGGGCAAAGGAAAGCTTGTGTTTTAGGGCTAGGGTTAGGGTTGAGTTGTCAATTGTAATACAATACCTGATACTTCTAGACTACAGATCATTGTCACATCCTTGTATATAGACCACATAGACAGTACAGTGCAAAAAGCTTGGGGGCCAACAAGTGTAAAAAAATAGAGTTGGGATATCACCAATATGTACATTAGAGTTAATTCACATTTTACCCAATAGACTTATTCTTATGTCAAATACCTACCTATGTTTCATGCTTAGTGGGGTTGAAAACAATGTTCAAAAAACATGTGAATATAATAATTATTTGACTCTGGCATGCTGAAATAAGTAATATGGAAATCAGGTCATTCTGTAAAAAAGAATGGTTGGGCTAGTATATTTAATAATTGTGTATTGTTTTAATTTATAGCTTGTGTCTTGAGTTTGCAAGATTTGTTCTTTTCTGACATTTGTTCTTTTCAAGCTGTTTGAGGTATGTGTTGCTTAAACTGCCATGTTTCCCAATAAGAGAAACAGTATGTTGTCATGCTTGAAAGTGTTATAAAAAAAGTGTTTTAGTGAATAAAATTAACGATATGGCTGTCAGCAATAGTGGCTAATGCATATGCTTTCTTAGTTCTGAAGAGAAAGTATGCAAAACTGTAGTTAGGTTAATCAAATTCAATGTTTACGCTAAATTTGAAAGTAAATAATATGAACTTACTGTGTTCATGAGAATAAGAAAGATCTGCATTCGCCCAAAATTGGGAATTGAAGGTCGACCAATCAGGCAGTACAAAATATTATTATGCACCCTCCCCAATTATTGCCTCTGGTTTCCTACCTGAAGGCAAACAAAAAGGTAGCTACTATCAGTGGTGGATCAAGCGGTGTGCAAAATAAATCACAAAGCTTAATTTTAAATTCAAAACACCTTAATAACAATGCTATTGGTTTTAAAAATAATATTTTTACATTAAAATCTGCCAATGTGATTCCAATTTTAAGCTGTAGTAATTTATTCTGCACACCCCTAGATCTGCCATTGGCTACCACATTCAAAATTACTTTATATAAATTACTTAGATATACAAAATACATGACTATATTACAATGGCTACAATTATAATTTTGGTAGGAATTCATATAAGCTAAAATTACAAAAGGTCAAGACAAATATTTTTATCACCAATAACATGTGATTAAACAATATGGTCTGATCCAAACATGCGTGAGAGTTAAGAAAAGTGCGTGAAACATTAGCCAAAGTTGAGTGATTTTGCAAGCTTTTCCTAACTCAAGCAACATTTCCAAGTGTTTGGATCAGCCCATCCAAACACAGGAAACCATTAAGTAATTATTTTATAAAAAAACAACAACAAAGTAGTGCTCCAAGTTTGATTTCCATAAGTGAATTTCCGTGTTTGGATGGCCTGATCCAAATTGGGCTTCGATTAATCAAAACACACATTATATACCCACATTATTTGTAAAAATAATTCTTTACTGATAATTCAATATCATCAGACATATAATGTGGAGCATCGCATGCTTTTGCTAGACAGTGATACCATTATTTGTTACATCTACACAATGATCATAGAATTCTGTTGTGTTTTAAACAATTCTAAGTAATTTTAAACAATTCTAAGTAATGTCTTGCATCAACAGCATGATGTTTTAGTGCAGGTGCTTTGGGCACCTTTTGCAGTCAAAGATTTACACAATACATACATTACCCATTATTACAAGTACACCATTATTATCATTACATCATTACATTTAATTTTTATCATTGCATTAATTATTAATTATTATTAAATTATTGAAGTAGTGCATTATAAAAGTACCGGTAAATCATAAAAAACTGTCCAGAGTTTAAGAAATTACATTGAATGTTTATAAATAACTAGAATTCCCTCCTGTTTATATATGAACTAGTCTAGGACTTATTTTTTATTTCTAATCAAACTTATATTTTTAATATATATGTCAGACATTCAAAACTAAAACTAAGAAAATATACTATGTTCATTCTTCTATTAATTATTCATTATTTGTTTTTAGGGGTTTTTCAATGTTGTTCTTCATTTCTAATGTTTGGTGTCCGTGTTTCTTGTGTTGGTCGCTGGTCTCTTGGTATGTCAACATCATCTAGTGCCTGGGGTATACCTGGAACCAGAAGCAAAGGTATAATTATATTAAGTCATGCCAGATTTGTTTTTCTGTGGAAGGCATGGCCCCCCTTGTTCTCTTATGCCAGTCTGAAAGTAGGGCTAAGCTCCTTAATAATTTAATGACAGGTATGAGTTCCTTTGGCATAATAGTTGTTGATATATCCAGTGTTAAACCATGTTTTCTTCAAGTTTTGTTTTGAAAGTTGTTACGAGTGGCAAAATCTGAACTTCCTGCTTTTAATAGATTTGAAATCTTTTGTCCCAGTATTGGCTGGTATAAGGCCTAAGTGACACTTTTATCATAAAATGTTGAATTTTGCTAGTCTCACGTAATAGAATCATAGACGCGTTCTGTATTTTTTGTCAGATAAATTGCGTATCAATTGCCAATCGCGTTATTCATGAATGGATTGAATGAGACGAAAACTGCTACAGAAAAACAAAATAATTAGTTCTAAAGGAATAGATTTACCTGGGAATAAGTTGGCTCGTTTCGGATCACGATGTACTTGTTGACGATCAGGCATCATATAAAATATTGATGGTAGCCTCTAAAACACACACCAACAAAAAATACGGGTTCTACTAAACACTACCCGTCGGATAAGACTGCCCGGGAAAATAAATGCTGCCCTGGACTTCCAGTTAATAAATCCAACTTTTCGTACTTTTCGTATCACCCCTCGGAAAATTTAGTCGAATTTTAAATTATTTTAAATATTTTTAATAACCCCTCGGAAAATTTATATTTCGGTTTAGCCCTCCGAATTTTCGTCAATATTTACTCTCTACCCCTCAGAAATTCTAAAATTTTCACCCCCTCGGAAAATCTCGTCAACGGGGGGTGTGGATATTAAATGGAATGGCCCCGATAAGAAGACTGCCCGGGAAAATAAATGCTGCCTGGACTTCCAGTTAATAAATCATAAAATATTAATTATGCCAGGGTTAGTAATAATGTTTATTCGTTTTACGAAGGCAAGGAAACTATAAAATAGCAATTATTGATTCAGTTTATTCTATGAAGTTGAGTATGAATTATAGTATAGCTTAGTGGTATGGACTAAACTGTATTGACTTCCACTTTTTCCGGTCTTGGCTTCCACTTTAATTATTATCTATGCTTTGAACTAGCAGGACAGGATCAACCTTTGGCAGGCTTGTGACATTTTTTCAATGCGGGCAGATAAATGCACGAATGACAAAAATACGCAATTCTTACTGTACTGAGGGAGCTGCGTGGATTAAGTGTTCGCTGTTTAAGGCATTGAATAATTGCTGTTTATACTTTCATCGCTTTCTGTGGCAATTTCTCGCCTTCGTAAAACGAATAAACATTATTCCAACCCTGGCATTAACAGTTTTTCACGATTTATTAACCGGAAGTGCCGGGCAGCATTTATTTTCCCGGGCAGTCAACTCAGGCAGTGTTGAGTAGGACCGAAAAATACTAGTGAGTCGTGGTAAACCAAAATGGCGAACACTGATGTCTGAAACTAATGCTATTAATTATGCATAAATTAGTAAATAAATTAGGTCAATGACTCATCTTTTCCAAGCCTGGTTTCCATATAGCACCGACATGCCGCCGACTCGAGTCTGCGCGACTTCCAAGCATATGGAAACACGTCGTCGGCGACATCTGCGACTAATAGGGAGTTTACGATCTAGCTCGATGATGCTAGTCAATTATTTTTGCAAGAAATTAGCTACCGGAAATTGACAAACGTTTCAATTGGGCTATAAGATGTTTCATATAAACTGTCAAAACGTTACCGCTATGTCATGAAAATGCCTCATTTGAAGGCGTCGTAAGAATGGCAACGCTGTCATGGGACCAGAAATTATGCATACCATGATGCATACCTATTGTTTCTCGCGTGTGGAATTTTATTTTTTTGCATGCGCGTCGTCGAGCTGGCCGCGTCGTGAAACTCCGTAATTTGTAGTCGCCGACTCGAGTCGGGACGGGTTCAACTTTTTTAATGGCTGGGGACTGCTCGCTGACTTACCGCAGTGAATTTTCGATATGGAAACACCAATCTAATATCCATCATAATTTAGTTTTTAACTATTTCCATTATCTTTTGTATGGTATTTAAAATTCACTCCATCCAACAGGTTTTACAGCACTGGGAGACAGCCGTCAAGTTGATTCTGGCCAGAGAAGCTTTGATAACGAAATTAGAAGATTTCGAGAGACTGGCTTCGGACCCAAACCGTTTCTTCGAGAGAGGCACGTTTATAAATCAGTGTCCAGTTGTATAGCAGTCAGTTAACTCTAGACTTTAGTTTAAAAGTGGACCAATGACAATGATATTTGGAATTGTGTACAATATCACTGCGAAACCAATAGTTAAAATGTATTTCAAAGGTTTATACCAACAGTCATATAGTGCAGTTAGTAAATACACATTTGTTTTAGTCAGTCGTGAAAAGAGTTATGTGATATTGTTATAGTCAGAGTTACCTTCAGCTGAGAAATAGGCTGAGGCATTATCATGCGTGTATCTGAATATAATTGGTGTCACACACGTTATAAAGTTGTATATTTGAACACTTTTATTCCAACGTCCACACGGTTGTGTGATTTAATACATTGTAATCCTCTTATATCCCTAGGAAGCCCTGGTTCGGCCAGTTCTCGGATCAAAGAGGCGAAAACTAAAAAGCAATTACATCATGTAAGTTGGAACATCGCTTGTTTTACTTATTTAGCTAATAATTTTGTGTAAATGTAGATGATTTTAATCGTTAGCGGAAAGGAATTTGTATAAGAAAACTCGGATTTATGCCCCAACGCCCCCTCATAAAATTGTTAACTCCCGCACAGCACTGTCAATGCTTATTCGCTTCACATAGTAATATAAATGTTTTTCTAACTGCGTTGCCTTGATATTACGGTATATTTTACGAGCTAAAATAAGGAAGTAAAATATTTTTATCACTGGGGTCTGTAGGACTAGGACTATGGGGCAAGAATTCACTGGATTTAGCCTCGCCTCTAAATTATGTTTTAAGGCGTCCTGCTGCGATTTTTAGTTCAAGAATGTTTCGAAAAATTATTGCCGGAAGTATCACAGACAAAGTGAAAGACATACGATTGAAAGGCTTATTTTAGTGTACTCTAAGAAAATTTGAATCCAGTTGTATAGCAGTGTCCAGTTGTATAGCAGTCAGTGAACTCTAGACTTTAGTTTAAAAGTGGACCAATGATAGTGATATTTGGAATTTGTACCATTTCACTGCGAAACCAATAGTTAAAATGTATTTCAAAGGTTTATACCAACAGTCATATAGTGCAGTTAGTAAATATACATTTGTTTTAGTCAGTCGTGAAAAGAGTTATGTGATATTGTGATACGTCAGAGTTACCTTCAGCTGAGAAATAGGCTGAGGCATTATCATGAGTGTATCTGAATATAATTGATGTCACACAGGTTATAAAGTTGTATATTTGAGTACTTTTATTCCAACGTCCACACATTACAACTTACACTGTTATGTCATTTAATACATTGCAATCCTCTTATATCCCTAGGAAGCCCTGGTTCGGCCAGTTCTCGGATCAAAGAGGCGAAAACTAGAAAGCAATTACATCATGTAAGTTGGAACATTGCTTGTTTTACTTATTTAGCTAATAATTTTGTGTAAATCTAGATGATTTTACTCGTTAGCGAAAAGTAATTTGTATAAGAAAACTCGGATTTGTAAGAAAACTCCAGTGTCTCTGAAACATCAAAAAAATCTAAGAAATTAATTATTTGAAAATAATGCAAAATGTTTCAATCATGTTATTATTGCGTTATTCAAAAGAAACTCTTTCTTTTTCTTTGGCAGAAATCTGACAAGATTGAAGTTCGAATTAAGAAAATCGTTGTTACGATTCATGAGACGTTTTCCGATGTTGTCACGTTCCAGGTGAGAGAAATAAGGCGACTGGAAGGACTTCGTTCGACCTGTTTCGCTAACAGCCAGGGGCATGTTGTATCAAGCCCGTTTAGCTTAAACGGATACAACCGGCTCCAGTACTGTATGCAAAATCCTCAATACCCTGTGTGCTGTCCAGTTAGGAACTCATAATAGCTCACAAGAATTAAATGCTTTCAATCGTGGTAACCCCACCTATGCCTGGGTAACGCGTGTACCTTCCCCCACACCCCTCCAGGAAATTGTTGGTGGTTCTGAATTCATTCCATTGCTTATTTTCTTCTTTCGTAGGGTCGTCCTTACCTTGAGAAAATGTCTAGTGATCGTACAGAAATGTTGTATTGGCTTCAACAGGAACGGCGAGAGACCGCTCTCGATATGGCGAAGAAAACTGTGGAACTTAGGATGTTGGAGATACCTACGACAGTAAATAACGTTGTGTGAATGTGTCATTTGTTTTTAATTTATTGTAAATGCTCAGTGGGGTGTTTGAAATTCAAACTAACTTCTCTACAGTCGAAGCAATAACAATGTTGTTTATACGATTATCACATATGTCTCATTGGTCACAATTTTAAGGTTAAAAGTTTGGTCGTCAGCTAAAACTAGAATTGGTGATCCTAAAATAAAACTAGATTCTAAAATATTAAAGTGCCCATGTCATAAAATTGGAATTTATCTCATTAGAATCGCCGTGAAACGTAGATTACGAAAATAGTAATCACATTTGAAATTGAGTTTGTTTTCGCGGAGAAATAAAGCGATAAAGTTTGAAAATTTCAAATTTTAACGGCAAAAGTTTTTGAAATCCGCGACAGTCGGAAACTGGTAACTAACACGTCACAATAGGAACTCGCATATTGCGCCTTTAGATAAATAATAGTATGTAGTACAAGAGAAGCGATTTTATGCCAGCTAAATTCGGTCATTAAACGTGGCAGAAATATGTCTTCATCAAGTTTAGCTATTGAGAAGTTACCAAAGGAATGACACCGATCAGAATGTTTTCCTGCCAATGCAATGCCAAGAAAAAACAAAAGTTAAGACCATGAACGCGGCTCAATGTCAGCCTTGTCAGGCAGTAAGAACACTTCGGACCATACATTAACGAACCAGATGCCGATGATAAGCTGAAAAGCTATCGCGAAATGGAGCAATCGTGCAACGATCATGGCATCGAAACTACAACGAAGACTTGATCGTAGGCGTCAGTAAATAGCAAATGTTTTTTTATTATCTTGATTGCGCGACTTGCTTTCCGTGACCCCAGAACATAATATCATTACGCTAGATATACAGTATTCAAATTACAAATAGATTCTATGGTAGTAATCTGGCAATTGTACTTAACTTAATTCTAAAGTTTCGTCCTAGTTGATCGTCATTCGTAATTGCGCACATGCAGTTCACCCGGGTGTAGATAAAAGGCGGACGCGGACCCCTAATACATTTTACTGCCCTATATAAATATTATATTAATAGCATTATGATGGAGGTTTTCCTGTGGCTCATGAGTGCCGGTATTTCTACAATGTGTTTATGTGTAGTTAAGTCACGCATGCCTGTGTGATTCTCTGGTTTATTTTCATTACAAATCAACTGAGCTAGAGTATGAGTGCATGGAGTTCCCATGCGCTTTCAAAAAAAATAGTTCAATGAGAGACTTAGAGTTATCAATATTAACTGAGAAATCTAACACGTCTCGCGCAAAAGAAACATATCAAATCATGTGTATATAAATATAACCCAGTACATTTCGCTTTTATTATGGCATCTTTTTTACCAACATTCTTTAGCTGTCTTTACTAAAATCTGCGCACTCGCATCTTTTGAGACGTTATTTACTTCGGTAAATCCTTTATCTGTTAACTTAAACACTGCCTAACGTGTTTACAACACAGTGATGACTAATGGCGTATTTGCAATTATTGCACGACTGTTGCTAGGAACGTACAATTATTAAAGCCATTTCACAACACATTTTGATAATATATGAGTCACTTTATACAGAATTGTCTGTTAAGTAAGAACAACCACTTTTTTGCGCAGTTAGCCTCTACTTATTACTTCTATGCAATAGAGTTACTAAATTGTCGTGTCGAACGAGTTCCTATTGTGACGTCAAACACCTTGTTTCGCACCAGTCTCATTTGCGCGGTTTTCAGAGTTTTCATTCCACCAAAATCAGTGTTTAGATGGCAATAACTCGAAAAATAAAAAACCAATTTCAGTTTTGATTTAGAACTTACTAACTCATTTCAAACAAAGATTCTAAAAATCTAAATTCCAATTTTATGACATGGGCACTTTAAAGAAAATTTAAGATGTGCTGCTTGTCATGAACGGTGGGCGGTCATGAATGTTCACTATTTTCTGTTAACAATGCATAGTTTGTTATAATATTCGATATGGTAAACTCAGTTAAAACTCCGCATAAACTTATAAAATCCTGCCCAAATCAAGTAAAGTTTCTGCAAGTTTGTAGGCATTCGATTAATCCCATTAGAATATATTCGGCGTGATATATCCTTAGCTCTATATATTGTGTTATGATAAGGCAGCTAATAATAACTGATAATAGAATAATTTAGGTAAAAAATGCAATAATTGGAATGATTTTGATCGAATTTAATGGCATTCAAGAGTAATTGGCCTACCGTCGAAACTCGAAACTAGCATAATAATGACTTGTAGTTTTTCAAATTTTAACAAAAGCATACATAAAAGAGGGGAGCGTTGGTACGTAAAACAATGGGATATGAAACGTTTCAGGATTTTAAGGATTGATGGTTGTCCAGTATACGGGTCTGTACGCGGTTTTCGGTTTCGGTCGTAATTTACTAGGCGGGGTCGAAGGTTTTTTTTTGTGCGGTTTCGGATTCCAGTAGGCCCCAACAACCCCTCATAAAATTGTTAACTTCCGCACAGCACTGTCAATGCTTATTCGCTTTACATAGTAATATAAATGTTTTTCTGACTGCATTGCCTGGATATTACGGTATATTTTACGAGCTAAAATAAGGAAGTAAAATATTTTTATCACTGGGGTCTGTAGGACTAGGACTATGGGGCAAGAATTCACAGGATTTAGCCTTGCCTCTAAATTATGTTTTATGGCGTCCTGCTGCGATTTTTATTTCAAGAATGTTCCGAAAATTTATTGCCGGAATTATCAAAGACAAAGTGAAAGACAAACGATTGAAATGCTTATTTTAGTGTTACTCTAAGAAAATTTGAATGACATTCCGAGTATTCTCGTTGTAAAATATTTTAGGTTTTTCAATTAGCAATGTTCAGGTCTTATCTTGTCGTGAATTGAATTACGCTGGTTGCTGTACCTTGTCAACCTTGTCTAGAAACTTCACGCCTTTCTAACAACGATTTCAGCCTAGTTTCTTGACCTTGTCTTAATAATTTCAGTGGCATTTAGTCCTCGCTAGTCCAATCATTATGTAAATAATGTTATGTTCCATCATATCCCAGCATGCCCCTGACTATGTATTGCACTTGTGGTTGCAACTTTGCGCCAGAAAATTTGCAATCATTTGGCGTGACTATAAGAATAAAGTTATTTTGAGTTGCAATCACTGAGCTATATAGTGGCATTACTTCCGTCTAGCTTGGACCACTCAATGGACTGATAAAGGCAGACTGCTGAGAATTTCTGTTGCCATAACCCGCATTTTATATTGGATTGAGTTGATAGAGGAGATGGATGGTGGACGAAATAGATCGATAATATTTAGTGATGAAACAAGTAAATGATGAATTTTTTAATTGACGTATATCACACTATTCTGCAGTAAATTCCAATTCACTGTGTCTGTGTAATTTGATCTGTGTGATTTGATCTGTGTGATTTGATCTGTGTGATTTGATCTGTGATTTCATCTGTGATTTGATCTGTGTTGGATCTGTGTATTTGATCCGATTCACTGTATTATTATTATTATTATTTTATTAAAAATTTTATTTACAGACACTAGCCCCGTCAGTTACGACTGATTTCCACGGAGGGCGTCTACTTAATTACATTATGAGCGTCTACTTAATTACACTATACAAATATAAACTATATATAATATGCAGAATTAACTACTTGAATTTATGAGCCTCTTGAAACAATGAATCGATTGAGCAGACTTAGCTTCACGCGAAAGACTATTCCATAATACAGCTCCTCTATATTTAAAACTTCTTTTGAGAAACTCTTTCTTAGGTCTCGGGATTGATAGATCAGTATCGTAATGTCTCAGGTTATAACCATTTTCAATCACACTACGCTCAGAAAAGGATTCGCGAAGGCACGGAGCAGTACCGTTATTTAGGATATTATAAACGAGAACTGCTTTGTTAGTTTTATATTTAGTTTCGAGATTTTTCCATCTAAGCTGCTCCAGGAGTTCAGAGGAGCTTGTATTGTAGTCTGCCCCCGTTAACACCCGAGCAGCCCTATTTTGAAATTTTTGCAACTTTTCTTTCAATAATAGACCGCAATTGTCCCAAAGAGGGGAACAATAGTCAAAGTATGGTTGAATTAAAGCTTTGTAAATGGTGTGCATGGTTTCTTCAGGAACAAAGGGTTTAACTCGTCTCATTACACCTATTCCCGCGCCTACCTTTCTGCTTATTGCATTTATATGGGCTTCCCAATTAAGTTGTTCATCAATCTCGACGCCCAAACATTTAAAAGATCTATAACGGGTTACTGGTACATTTCCAAAGATCACTGACTTATTTCCTAGTTTATTTTGAATGTTATACGAAGAGCCTACAAACAAAAGTTTAGTTTTGGTAGTATGATGTTGCAATTTATTATCACTAAGCCATTTACTGATATTTTTTAAATCAGAATTCAACATATCTACTAATTCATCAAAGTTATCCGACGACGCAAAGATTTGAGTGTCGTCTGCATATATTCCAGGGGTAGTAGATTTTAGGTACTCTGGTAAGTCATTGATATACAGCAGAAACAACAGGGGACCCAGAATGGAACCTTGGGGAACTCCACTTATTATTTCTTTGCGAGTCGATATATAGCCATTCACATAACACACCTGCTCGATTAGTCAAATAGGAAGCAAACCAAGCAAGTTCGGAGTGTTTTATTCCAAACTGGTTTTTCATTTTTATCAGTAGAATTTCATGATCAATTGAGTCAAAAGCTTTTCGAATATCTAAGGAAACTATACCAGTAATTTTACCCTCGTCCATATTTTCCAACCATTTATCACACATTTGAAGAAGTAGAGTTAATGTTGAGTGTTTTGGTCTAAAGCCAGATTGAAATTTTGAAATCAGTAAGTTCTCTGACAGATAGTCATATAGTTGTCGAAAAATTTCTTTCTCAAATATTTTGCTAACAATTGGCAGAATGGAGATCGGACGGTAATTTTCACACTTTCTCCTATCTTCGGATTTATAGATTGGTTGGACTCGTGCTATTTTCCAATCATTGACAAATTTCCCAGTATATAATGATAGATTAAAAATGGCAGTCAGTGATGGAGCAATTATATCCGCAGATAGTTTAAGTACTTTTGCTGGAATTTTATCGAGTCCCGTAGCTTTAGAAACTTTTAGAGATTTTAGATTATTTGCAATTTGATCAATACTTAGACCTGAGAAGCAAAATGTTGAACGGCAAGTAGAATCCTTAACATTTGTTTCGTAGGCAGCGTTACAATTTGTCACTTCAGCCGCTAGTGACGGGCCAATATTAACAAAATAGTTATTTAGTTGATTTGCAATTGAAACTCCGTCTGTAATAACTGCCGCCGATATTGAGTTCATTGACTATTGTAGATTTACTACCGTCTTTACCTAGAAGAGTATTAATTAATGACCAGCTTTTTTTAACATTTCTCTGCTGAGAGGATTCTGAAAGTTTATTATTAAAGTAGTTAGCTTTAGCTTTCCTTATTTCAGAATTCACTTTGTTTCTGATGGTTTTATACTTTTCCCAATGCGCTTCAGAGCCAAATTTTTTAGCCAATTTCTGATGGAGGTCTCTTTCCCTCATAAGTTGCTTTATGGATGCATTTACCCATGGCATTGATTTAGTTTTAGTCCGCCTACTCTGAATTGGCGCATGCCTATCGAGTGTCTCTAGAAAGAATAATTTCCAAATTTGCCAGCTATCATTTGGGTCATTAAATTGGTTCACATAATCCCAGGGAACCGTATTTAAGTCTTCGAGAAACTGTCGTTCATTAAAATTTTTAAAATTTCGAAATTCCTTAAAGGCTTGTTTTTTCTTTGGAAACACCATTTTTTTGACAGCAAAAATTAGGTTATGATCGGAAATCCCCAAATTAATTACTCCATAGTTAGAAATACTCTCAGGATTGTTAGCTAGAACCAAGTCAATTAAGGTTGCAGTTGTTTTAGTCACCCTAGTTGGTTCTTCTATCAGTTGTTTCAGCTGATATAACGTACATATATTTAATAATGTTTGCGTGTGATTATCATATGGGGATTTACTAACGTCACAATTAAAGTCCCCTAAAGCTATTAATTCTTTATTTTCCATATCACATTTTTGAATAAAGCGTTCAAAGTCGTCAAACAAACTTATATTAGCATTCGGAGGTCTGTACCAAGAACAAACTAAGAATGGCTTGCTATATTGACGAAAAATTTCAATGCACACCATTTCAAGCGAATTTGGGACCAATTCTGTACGTTCAACACATGAAAAGCAGTTTCTAACATATAAAACGACACCCCCACCGTGTCTATTACGATCCTTTCTGAATAAATCGTATCCAGGTATTTTAATTTCATGGTCTGAGACAAATTCATCGATTTTGGACTCATTGATGGCTAAGACATCAATCGGACATTTTTCCAATATTACTCGAAGCTCATCGATATGCTTCAAGAGGCTATTAACATTTAGGCTAGCTATTCGAAAACCTTTGAGATTAGCAATTTCGCTAAGAGCAGATTCAGAATTACAATTTGCTATTGCCGGGTCATTCAACAAGTCATTTAGTTGATTATCGGAGGTTATTGCTGAAATGTCCGGGGAAATATCATGTCAATTAGGTATATTATTTGCAAATTCTCTTAAATTGTCCTGAAGAATTGAGCTGCCTACATTATTTAGATGAAGGCCTCTGAAGTTCAAATGGGAACTATTAATGTTAGCATTTTCTAAATACGATATTTGGGAGTGTTTACAATGACTTCTTAGCATATCATTAACTTGTTTTACCTTACCAGCAAGTTCTTGATTATCATTCCTTA